TTCAATAAGAATAACATGTAATCTATATTGATTAAAAATTATTCTATTCTATTCTATTCTATTCCTAATGCTGTTGTGTTCGTATGGTGAGTGTGGAGAATCGGAGACCCTTTTTTCTGGAAACGAAGCATTCCATCTTAGCAAGAGTGACAACGCATCTGCATTTTGATTCTTAATCGATAATCTGAATGTCTCGTGCGCTCTTCTCTGGTGGACTGTGTGCTCGTTTGCCACACTTATTCTATAAAAAAAAATATCAATAACAGGCTCTTATTGCAACTCTAACTAGTGTCGGACAGTAGACTTAACGGGACAATTTATTCATAGAAATTAGAAACTATGTTATCACACTCTTTACATCCATACTATTTACATCTTTGTCCTACCACACTAGATGGGGTGACGAACTAATAAGACATGTAGGAAGTCGATGATGCAATTGGCTCAGGACCGAGACATTCGTGACATTCGTTGGCAGATGTGTAGGTGGTTGGTTAATTTTGCAGTGGACTTGTGAGACTCTAATGATCTTAATATCGCTTACATATTGTAAATACAACATTATTATTATTATTATGACAATCATTCACAAGTCTACTGCTGAACATAGGCCTCCTCCAAGGAATGCCACAAAGAACGCTCCTGAGCCACCTGCATCCATCGACATGTTTAGTAATAATTTTAAACATGTTCACAGGAAGATTTTATGTAAAAGCCAAGGAGGCTTTAAAAAGATAATAAACATAATCGCATATTTGTTGATCACTAGTAAATAAGGCTTCGCTGATTCTCTAAATAAATGAACATTTACAAATGATGCAATCTTACAAGTAAATATCGCGCCGGCGCGTCGCGGTAGAGCTTCAGGCAAATAACAACAGAGTTCAGTCGCGACCAAAACAAAAAAATCACACATAGAACAAAACACAACTTTTAAACATTACATTTCCTGATGAGCTTCAGCATAGCGCTTACTTTCAAATTTCATAGCACGCTAAAAATAACCTTGTAATATTTATTATTTACCAGACATTCGCCGCGGTAAGAAAATATCGTAAGGAAACCGGACTGAACGAGAAATGTATCGAGAATAGGTAAAGTCTTTCAACTAAGACAGCAGTTGAATAGAACATTCCAGTGTTGGATTATTAAACACTGACATGACATGGGCCGACCGGTTGCAGCGGTGCTGTAAAAATATGCACTACCCCATATCGTGCCCTGGGTGTCCTCAGAGGCGACAGAGGAAAATAAAACAGGATAAAGGCAGCAGCGGTTCTAAAAAAAGGGCGGTTGCCAACCCGCCTGCCAAGCGTGGCAGCTATGGTAAATATCCCACCGATGATGCAATCTATGTTCAGCAGTGGACTTTTCGTAAGACGTGGGCAATAAGTATTTTAGGAAACGAACTTATATTTAAGAATATCTCAAGGCAAATATTTTTTATTATTTCTGAAACAAAATCTTTATCTTTATTCTGTGATGTTAGTGCTATTAGCCTATTTGACTTTTACTGCTTCTTCTGATAGAGGGGGCACGAGGCTTGAACTTTATAAACATAAGAACTACAAAGGAACCATTATACACAGCACACACGCAGTTACCTTATAATATTATAAAATGCAGAACGAGACGCACATGAGCAGAGCACTGTTATCTAATAACTATTAAATAAAATACTAAAACGTGTTCAAGTAATGCACAGTACAATACGCAAGCGTCTCTTACGTATGCGACAGTGAAAGTACAAACGATTTTGACCCTTTTTTCTTTTCAACTGCCGGTTAAGTTGGAGAACGAGAAGCGTTTCACTTTTCGTCTGCTCCAGGACAATTCTTCGCTTTAGCCTTCGCCTAGCCTGAATTAATTTCACTTAAAATTCAAATTAAATCAAAAAATTCGCCAAGCTAGTATCGCGTACGTGCGTGCAATGTGCGAGCGCAAGCAACACAAGTTCATAAACCATAACATTCAATGAACACACAAATTATGTTTACAATCAATTCACCGTGTAGTGACACACAATAACCACTACCCGTGGGTGTCGTATGAGGTGACAGAGGGAAACGAACCAGAAGATAAAGACACAACACATAACAACTAGACAATAAAAAACGACGGTTGTCAAGCGCGGAAACCATGATGAATATCCTATTTGCACCACAAACAGTTTTATGAGACGGTTTAACTGGTAAATAGTTGCTTCACTCGTAGGTACCTACATTATTTATTCTCGACTATGAATCAAAATGAAGGTGCATTGTCCACCCGAGGTTTAAGATAGAATGCCTCGTCACCATTAGAGGAGTCTCCGGTTCTCGTCACAACTACGAAAAGACTATATTCGAGTCGAGCCGACCCGCTCGTGTTGCAGATAGAAAACAATAATCCTCTGTACAATATTTTTCCTAATTAATGTGATTAAATTCAAAATCTGTTGAGACTGACAGCATGTGATTTCTATCAGTTCACACAGAGTAATTTGGTCTTTATTTTATTATAACAACATGACATATCTAAACTTTTTTGTGTTTGTATGATTTTAAAATTAAAATTAAGTCAACGCGAGCAATTTCACATGCACAGCTTTTATTAATGTACGAAATGTATTAACTTTAAAATCACAATGAATGATTCAGTGGCTGAATAAAAAAGGTAATCGCTGCGAGTCCACGGGGAGCAACGACTTTTGATAACGTCAGCGACCACTCGACAAACATCTTGTAGTCTTTCAGTTAGTTGTCTTTCAGTGCACCGGCAAGATGCCGTTCTAATAATGACGATTCTGAATTTTTGATAACCTACGTCATATAAGCCGTGATAGGTCAGAGGCAGAGCTCTTGCTGGTTTCGATCCCCGCCGGCACCAAGGAAACATAGAACATCTATACATACAAATACAATTGTAGTATAAGCTCAGGGAGTTATTTGCATGGCATATCATTTACATGAATAACCACTTTCTCTATTTTGTCTGTCAATCTGTCCGGGCTGATCTTCGGGATGGCTGAACCGATTGTAATGAAACTTATAACTACAATTAAACCGAAAACGTTATTTAAAAAAATTATAAAACAAATAGAGTCTTTCATTATTTTAAATGTAATTTTATAAGTAAAAAGTTAAAGTAAATAAAGCGTATAAGAATATCCACTACCCCGTAGATACGATACCGTACCGTGCAGTGGCAGTGTAAGAATATCCACTACCCCGTAGATACGAAACCGTAACGTGCAGTGGCAGTGTAAGAATATCCACTACCCCGTAGATACGATACCGTACCGTGCAGTGGCAGTGTAAGAATATCCACTACCCCGTAGATACGATACCGTACCGTGCAGTGGCAGTGCAAGAATATCCACTACCCCGTAGATACGATACCGTACCGTGCAGTGACAGTGTAAGATTATCCACTACCCCGTAGATACGATACCGTAACGTGCAGTGGCAGTGTAAGAATATCCACTACCCCGTAGATACGATACCGTACCGTGCAGTGGCAGTGTAAGATTATCCACTACCCCGTAGATACGATACCGTACCGTGCAGTGACAGTGTAAGATTATCCACTACCCCGTAGATACGATACCGTACCGTGCAGTAGCAGTGTAAGAATATCCACTATCCCGTAGATACGATACCGTACCGTGCAGTGGCAGTGCAAGAATATCCACTACCCCGTAGATACGATACCGTACCGTGCAGTGGCAGTGTAAGAATATCCACTACCCCGTAGATACGATACCGTACCATGCAGTGGCAGTGTAAGAATATCCACTACCCCGTAGATAAGATACCGTACCGTGCAGTGGCAGTGTAAGAATATTCACTGCCCCGTGTCATCCTATGGGTGTCGTAAGACGCGACAGATGGAAACAAATTAGGAGATGGTCAGCAGCGTCTTTCTAATATCGACTAAATATAAAAATAAACTGCCATTGCCAACGCGCTTGCCAAGCGTGGCAACTATGGCAAATATCTCCTCTACGTAGCAATCTAAGGAGGAAACCTATTTTTAGCAGTGGACATTTAATAGGCTGTAACACTAATCCCGCACTCAGTTTCATCCCTTGGGCGTGATGAGAGGCTAGTATAATAGACTGTTAACAACCGCAGTTTTTTATAATTTTCGTTGTCATCAAGAAGATGCGGGCTGTCCTTGTTGATGTTTCAAATATGCAAACCAACAGCAACACCAAATTATCTTGTTGATTTTTCCTTGCGCAGTGTAGACCCACGCCCCAGGTTGGTTACGGTTCTTTTATAGGACAATGGTTGCCAACCGAGACGCATCTGGTGGGTAGTTCAATACCATGACTTTTAAGAAATAAATATTAAGGTTTAGTACGTGTAAAATGAATACGCTTTTATTTTAAATACATGATCCATGTTTATACGTGTTATGTGTATCATATAAGCGTACCTATTTCAATTCACAATGCTATGTTAGTTCCTTCTTTAATGTATGGTAGTGAAAATTGGGTGCGGCAGAAGCACGAGAGTAGAATAAATGCTGAAGATGAAAATTTTTAAGGAGGTATACTCGTGTTAAGGTTGAATTTGAATGGCAAGGTGAGAAATTGTGTGATAAATGATAAGTGTGGTTTGCAAGATGATGTTGTGACCAGGATTAAGAAAGGAATGCTTCGGTGGTTTGGTCATGTAGAAAGAATGAACGAGGAAAGAGTGACAAAGCAAATCTATGTTGCAGAAGTAAAAATCGAAGTCGGCAAGGGACGCCCTATACGAAAATGTATCGATCATATTAGCGATATATTGAACACGGGTTAAATTAAGAGTACCTTTAACAGACGAGCATGTATGCGTAGATATAATATGGAGGCGAGAGAGGTGTGTCAAGACCGTGCCAAATGGAAGTCCATGGTCTCTTCCTACGCCACTGGGCGACAGGCGTGACTGTTGCTATATTATGTATGTACCTATTCTATTACATGCAACATGTGTGCGTGCGTGCGTGTGCGTGTGTGGGTGTGTACTCACATGATGACGCCGAGGCTCCACCAGTCGGCCTGCGGGCCGTAGCCGGTCTGCAGGAAGACCTCGGGCGCGATGTAGTCGGGCGTGCCCACGGTGGAGTAGGCGAGCGCGCGCCGGTTGCGCTTCCACGACTCCGCGCGCCGTTTCGAGTCCATCGCGGACGACGACGTCGAGACTGCGCACAGCCGCGACCAAAATTCAGACACTAATAAACGAGAAACAACATGCGCACGACAACACACAACAACGCACTGCAGCGAACCAGGAACCAGGGCTGGATTTAAAGGCGACAGCAGCCGAATCCCCGGGGCAGTTTAATTTTTTTTTTTTCAATAAAATTGGATAACGAATACTTTCCGAAATATGGTAAATTAAGGTAAGACAAGACAAACAGATTGCAAGGTTATTCCAACGCAAGCTATACACGCAAAATACGCGCATCGACGTGGAGTTGCGGAAAACAGTCCGTCGTAAACTAAACTAAACTATAACTAAAGAAGCTATATTTAATCGAAATAATGTTTCATCAAAACATCCCACATTGATTTTCTATCCTACAATATTAACATTTCATATCATATGTTCTTTTGTAAAAAAAAATCACAAGGCTCGACTTATGCGTTGCCCCAGGACTTCATGGCACATTTAAATCCACCCCCGCCTCTTTTCCTTTCTCAGTTTTATGGAAACTTGTCTTATCTCTTAACGTACCGTGTAACCTGACAACTTTGCCATTTTTGGAAGGACTTAAAAGTTTAAGACCAATTTTCCAACAAAAAAAGTACTGTGAAACTGGGCGTTAATGTTGAATGTGACATTATATTCTTCTAGATTTAATATTTATTTGTAATTTAAACAAATAGAACAAAAACATTAAATAGACAAAATACTCAAAAATAGAAAATGGCAAAGTTAACCCCACTTTGTGGTAACTTTATCATCAAGATTTATAATGAAAATAATAGGATTTCACTTCAAGGTTCAAGGTGAGTTTAGCTCATAATATAACACACAACACTCAGAGTTATGATTTACGCCTTTAATTGTGTTGCAAATAGTAAAGTTTACGCTTTTGGCAAAGTTGCCACTTTTCAGTTTTTCATACAAACTTGAAAATATGTGTCAGGGTTGTCAAAAACCCTTAATTACGTACTTAATTTTATTTTTTATTTTAACAGTGGTAGAGCCACGCGGCAGCTATTGTTGTCGCACGGATGGGCCGGCTAGAACCGGGGTGGTACCACGACCTCACAGAAAACCAGCGTGAAGTAGAGGTTTACCTCTGCGTTTCGCTTGGTGAGTGCAGTGAGTGAGTGCCCTTTTTACTGGAAATGAGACATTCCATCTTAGTCCTCACGGGTGACAACGCATCTACACTTTGATTTGTAATAGATAGATGTAGATGTCTATGGGCCGCAGCAACCACTTACCATCAGGTGGACAGTGTGCTCGTTTGTCACCCTTATCCTATAAAAAAAAAGTTGCCCTCCCACTTTTCAGTTTTTCATACAAACTTGAAAATATGTGTCAGGGTTGTCAAAAACCCTTAACTTTATTTTATTTTTTATTTAAATCTTGTCACAATAAAATATATCAAACAAAAATACTCTCGTATGAAATTTAAAATCGAATTGGTGCAATAATATTTTTTTTATAGGAGAGGGGCAAACGATTATGCGGCTCACCTGATGGTAAGTGACTACCGCCGTCCATGAACAACTGCAACACAGGGGGAATTGCAGATGCGTTGCCGGCCTTTTAAAAAGGAACAGGCTCTTTTCTTGAAGGTCCCTAAGTCGTATCGGTCCGGAAAAGCTTAAATCAATTATAGTATAGATAAAAAAAGCTTGTCACAATCATTTTCATTAAAAATTCCTTCTTTAATTAGTCATCATCATATCATAAAATGATGTCAGGTAAAAATATATTGTAGTCGTATAATGCAGTAAAAATTATATAGATTGCTCTTTTCTTATCCTTCAATTTTGATAAATGAAGGATAAGAAACGAGAACAAAACTAACTCTCATCAATTCAACTCAATCAACAAATAGCATATCCCGAAAAACGTTACGTGTTAATCGTAATTTTGTACCAGTACACCCCTGATGGCAAAGTTACCTTTCATTGGTAATGTTGCCAGACTTGACTGTAGCAAGAGTAATTAAACTTGTAAAATTATTTGAATACAACAATAGTGTATAATAATATTATGATATAAAACAACTGAAACTTTTCAGCTGCAGTAACTGCTTATCTGAAGTAAGCGTCGTAAAAATTAAATTATAATACATAAAAATGAAATATAAGGAAAAGATAACAAAATAAGTGAAAATAATAATTACGTAAAAGTTACTTAGAATATTAAATTATTTAGAACAAAAGTTTATGAATACTTGTAATTCTATTTGTTTTTCAGATAACTAATTTGTACGTGAATACTTTATAACAATATAAGCCTAAAGCCGCGTCTCCACCAAAAATGTTGACAACATTTATGTTTCCAACTGTTGAAAAATCAACAAAAGTTGCCAACATTTGTTTCCGAAAATGTTTCAAAATTTTCCAAGAAGTGTTTCCACCGAGGGAACAAATGTTTGCAACAAGCGTATTCCTTTGATGTTGCCGCCGAAAATGGAAACACGGTACCCGATATTGTTTCAAGTTTTGTTGCCAACACTAGGTGATTAAGGAAACATTTGTGGGCAACACGTGTTAGCAACTGTTGTGTTGGCAACAAAACTTTGGTGGAAACGCAGTTTAACATTCATCTGAGCATATATAGATTTTTTTTTTTAACTTTTTTATTCAATATAGATTATAAATAATACTTATTGAAAGTCACTCTTTTGATATTTATTAGATATTATTTTTATTTGGGAAATTGTCTTTTATTATTAAAAAAGATTATTACATTTTCAAAAAGAAATTTCAAAGTTCGATGTTCACGAGTGTAATTAATATTAAGGAAAGAGAGGCAGTGAGTGCTTACTAAAGTCTGAGGGAGTGGCTCGCGAGAGGTCGCGGTAGAAGTCAGTGCGGTGGCTCTTCTTGAGGCCGGTGCAGAGCCCGAAGTCGCTCAGTTTGATGTGGCCGCGCGCGTCCAGCAGCAAGTTGTCCGGCTTTATGTCCCTGCAACCCACCACACTCTCCTGTATCACTACTGCCATACACTGACGATATATTGACAAAAATTCGGTGTAATGAGGAAAAGGATCACGCCCTCACGTAATACCAGCGTAAAATAGCAACTTAATGCTGTTGTGTTTCGTATGGTGAATGTAGAGAACCGTACTGAGACCCTTTTTTATGGAAACGAGACAGTCCAACTTAGCCCTCAGGGGCTTTTATATTCTTATTTTTGTTACATTGTATGAAAGTGCACACTTAGACTACCTCTTATTTCTTTCAACTATTCTTCAATAAGCCTTCTAGATGAAATATCGACATGGAATAAGCAGTGCCCTTGTACATATGTTCTTTTTACCATTTCCCTATCAAAATATGTGGGTAGATAAATTATTAAATAAATAAATAAATACAGGTGCTATCACTCTTGTAACATATACATAGGTCAGGCGACGGGTATGCACTGCACACAATTTATACAGAGTACAGACCTGTGTATAAAGCCGAGCTTGTGTATGCTGTCGATAGCCAGCGCGGTCTCTGCCACATAGAACTGCGCGCAGTCCTCGCTGAGCGTGTCTTTCTTCATGAGCAACGTCATCATGTCTCCACCGGGCAAGAATTCCATAATGAGGTACAGATTCATGGGATCTTGAAAGCTGTAGTACATTTTCACTACCCACTGATGGTCCGCCTCCACCAGAACGTCGCGCTCGGCGCGCACGTGTGCCACCTGTGCGCAAATACAACAAACAATATTCTTAGTAGTGTCCGACCGAAGGTCGAATTTTGGCCGAAGCCGATTATATGGCTATCGCCCCAACCATCGGCCGAAGCCGGAGCAGAAACCTTAAAACCCCTAAGAAATTCTGTTCAAAAATGAATAATATAAATGATTTTATAACTTTTCAATTATAGTTTTATAGGTATTGACGGTACAATATAAAGAGGAAATTTTAATTATCTACAGAAGTTGATCCAGAGATGATAAAAATTGCGTCGCCACGCGCATCGCGCTCGTAAAGCCGGGTCCAGACGAGTGTAATGCTTAATGTAAGATTACGTGTAATTTTGCGTCAACGGTGTGGACGGCACACGAACTCAAGGCGAATTGTAAACGCGAATCTATTTCAAGATCTGTTTCCAGTCAGTTGCTACGAGCATGCCGAATAGGAACGTCGTGGTAGCTGGTGCTGCTTTTATTTGTAAGTATTTACTAACTGAACACCGGAAACATTTGGAACGTGAATATGGTGGAAAAATAAATTGTATAAAAGAAGATCTTCTTTACTTGTGGAACTAAAATCTCAGCAAATAAGTGGCCAATGTAAAAACTTTACCCGTATGTCGCCTACTGATTTCGAATATTTGTTAACAATCATTCTGCCTAAAATATTTATACTATAATCTGATCTGCAATTTCGCTGCAAGATAGACTGGCTCCAATACTAACATTTTTGACAACAGGAGATTCATAAACAAGCCTTCAATACACCTTCAGAAATTCGAAACAGTCAATCTCTTGCATTGTACCTGTAGTTTGTGATGCGATTATAGAAGCATTGAAAGAAAACGTTAAGGTGAGTTTTACATATTTTTATTTATTTATTAAAAAACAAAATAAGGTATTTTAATTATGTATTAGAAAATTAAAATTATTCTAAAATTTAAATTAGAAATTTAAATCAAGTCATTCACGAAATTTACATCTTCATATGAAGTTTGGGATGATTCTGAGGGAACAGGTGAAGTATATGGAGCAGTATAGCGTAACTGATCACATTTCTGACCTGTTGTATACCCTGCACATATATGATTCTGAGCGATTAGATAAACAAGCTGGGTTATTGCAGTATCTTGATGAAGAAATCGAGCCTATTGTATACCCGCTGTAAATTAATTGAGAATTGAATGCCGCAGGATTATAATGTTGAGAAAAGTTAGTGCATCCTTCATCGGCTTTGAATATTATGTCCGTTGTTGCTCGCTGCACGGCATTTTAATACTTCTGTTGTATTGTTGCATCTTGCTGCATATAAAATTTGAAAAGGAACGAGTTTCGATGTCAAAATTATTTGGATTATTGTTTCGGGGCTCCGACGTAGAAGAGTAGAAACAGCACTCTTAAGCACGCCAACAGCTTCTGAAAGCATAATATATATATTTTTATTTTCGTCTCATTTCTTTTTTTGGGGGTCCAGACCAGTTGGTGATATAAATTCTGAACCGTTTTCATTTTCTGCATTTGTAGATGCTCTCCGTTCCTATTCACATGTAATCGCTAATAAAAAAAGAAATTCATTGTTTCAGCTGCCAAAAACAGAGTCAGAATGGACCCAGATCTCAAACATATTTGATGAATTGTGGAATTTTCCCCATTGTGCCGGAGCCATGGACGGCAAACATATGATTCTTGAGGCTCCGATACATAACATGGTGGAAATGATAGGGAGGAATTAAAGCGTGTAATTCCTGTGCACACTCTCCGAAATGCATCCTATAGAATACCGAGAGACTGGCTACTCCGCACCTGTGCTCCGATACAAGATTGGTTTCAACCAAATCAAGGTTACCAATGAGCATCTTAGCACGTCTCTCCACTGAGTCCAGCACTGCACTTCTAGTGTTCATCGTAAAAGGTCACCGCAGCCGAACATATTACTCACTCTATGTGGCACAAAATAGAATATTGTAACTACAAATCGAATTTCAGTATAGTGATGTTTGCTTTAATAGACGCGGAACATAATTATAAATTTCTGAATGTCGGATGTCAAGGCCGAATTTCAGATGGTGGAATTTTTAAGGAAACTGAATTATATAAAAAACTAGAAAATAATTCAATAAGATTGCCTGCATGTGAAGCACTGCAAAGTAGCAATAACGCATATGTTTTTTTATGAGACTCTGCCTTCCCTTTACAAAACAATATAATGAAACCTTATCCAGGAGAATACCCCAAGGGATCGCCGCGAAGAATTTTTACCAGCTAAGTAGAGCTCGCAGGATTGTAGAAAACGTATTTGATATCACAGCATCTGTGTTCAGAGTTTTACGAAAACCTATGCTTCTTCAGCCCAAAACCGTGAAGACTATAGTCATGACTATTGCACACTTGGATATTTTTTGAGAAACACGGCTACATCTAAAAACTTGTATGCACCCCTTGGATCACTTGACAGCTGCCAAAACGGAAAATTATGTGAAGATAGTTGGCGGAGAGATACTGAAATGTAATCTTTACTTCCATTGAATAATGTACCTAGAAGGGTTGCCTTAACAGCAAAACAAATTAGAGGTAAGTTTAATGACTATTTTATAGACTAGGGTAAAGTTTCTTGGCAGAATACGAATTAAGTTTTTTTTTAATCAAGTCGAAGGAAACTTGTCGAATGCAGTTACCTCTGTGTTGAGCCGTTTCCTTGGATTCTTTCGATCTAAAAATGCCAGCGCCTCGTAAACAAACCATGTACTTTTGTACGTTTCATCCACACCTGTAACATAAATTATAATAAATAACAGTTTTAAATAAGGACAAAAGACAAGGACGGAAGATCATACAATAGAAGTAATAATTGTACTAACAGCAAATAAGTGATAATACCTAAGTAATAACTAAATTAATAAATAAAAGTATGTAATATGTAATGTAACATAAATAATAAAACATACCTTTTCCGGAACAATGACTCTTCTTTACTTTTCCTTTTTCCTTTCGATGTGAAGTAAGCAAACTTATCATTTTGTTCCTGCATTCTACTACATCTGTTCCCAATGAATGAGCAATATCACACCAAGCATCGTATTTCAGATTTTTTTTTAAAGTAATTCGGATTTTTTGGATCCCAAATAACATGTGTTTTTGATACAAATTAATAAGTTCATATGATTGTTCGTCACTCGCACATCATGAACGTACACACAACGCAAACGTCACGAACGCCGTCCACTGCGAGCACTGCGAACGCCTTTGTGTTCACGCAAAAAAACCCAACAGCCGATGGATCAACCCGAGCGACGGCGCAAGCGTTACATGAATTGCTCGTAGTGCCGTCCACACGTAGAATTCGTGGTACATTACACGGTGGATTACATTACACGTTACACTCGCCTGAACCCAACTTAAGACTTCGTTAGATTTCGATGCTTACTAGTTGCTAGACGCCTTTGACTTCGGCAAAAACTTAAGTCCATTTTGGCCGAAGCCGAAGGTTTCGCCGAGGTTGTGTTTTAAGGCCACTAACGGTCGGACACTAACTCTTAGTTCATTTTTGAAATATTTATTGGACTTCAAAGTAATTGACACAAAGGTGAATTTAACACGTACGTTCAGCATGACTTTTGTCTTACTTTTTAAGATAATTCATGTAATGAGTATTCGATGATAATTCGCTATAAACGCTATCTGTCTTGTACAATAAACTCTTCTGTCTGCAACGGAACACGACCAACAAACTTTTAGAGAATATAAACCCACATATTAATGCGACTTACCTGTTCCTTTTCCAGCATATCTGCTTTCCTGAGTATTTTCATTGCATAAACGTGTCCTGTGTCTTTCTTTTGTACGAGGCGCACCTCCCCGAACGCCCCTCGACCTATTACCTACGGAAAATATTTTTTATCAAATATAAAAATCAAAATAAATAAAAATTTAAACAACCGCGCGGGCCGCTTTGTCAGCGGATCTCCTGTATCCGACAATGTTCCTGATGTTTTCCAAATAGGCACTTCCGTCGCTTTTCGTCAGATACATGTAGGTAAAATATACAGAAAGCGTACGGCACCAAAACTTTTACTTGACTTATTATAAGCCAGTGCTTGACCAACTTGACTTTGAACTTATGACAATCCCACCTGGTGGTAAATGGTAAAGTCTTAGCGTAACAAAAGCCTATTTAGTCTTGCCTAGAAGACGGCCAGATTGTATTCGGACGGAAAGACAGACGCCGGCAAATTATTCCACTCCTTTATTGTAAGCATTACAAAAGTCGAAACGAACCGTTTGGTTCTAATGCATCTACAACAAACGAGTGAAGACCCACCGATCGCCTCGTTGTCCGATGGTGGAAATGATAGGGAGGAATTAAAGCGTGTAATTCCTGTGCACACTCTCCGAAATGCATCCTATAGAATACCGAGAGACTGGCTACTCTGCGCCTGTGCTCCGATACAAGATTGGTTTCAACCAAATCAAGGTTACCAATGAGCATCTTAGCACGTCTCTCCACTGAGTCCAGCGCTGCTCTTCTAGTGTTCATCGTAAAAGGTCACCGCAGCCGAACATATTACTCACTCAATGTGGCACAAAATCAAGAACTCACGTACCTTGAGCGGCTCGAAGTCTTCAACGCCGAGGCGGGAGCGTTTTAGCCTCAGAAACTCAGTCTCTTTCTGCGCATGCTGCTGCCGCTTTTCCTGTTTCTGACTTTCTGTGAGGCTCTCATCTTTTAAGGACTCTTCCAGTTTTTCCAGCCTGAGTTAAAGAAACATTCGTTGTTGAAGTGAAAACTTTTTTAGAATCGTTGTGATTTGAAACTAAACGAAAAACGAACACTAAAAAGTGACAAAAATATACATCAATAGAACCTACCTAACCTGCGAGGGAATGAGATAGATATCAAATTAGTCGTGTTTAGTCCATCTAGCTTTTTATATACGTTGCACAATTTTCGTTCAATAAAATGACTTTACTTACAGAATGAAGTAGATGGTGCTATTACAAATTAATTTTAAAAAATTATATTTTATTGTGTTATTAACTTCCTTCTGCGTAGCATTGAAAGGAATTAAATTTAAAATTAATGGTTTTAGCTGGCAATCTGTTAGTCTGTATGCCGACACGATAACTTCCGTTCCACTGGACCGATTGACTTTAAATTTGGTATGTGGATACCTTGAGGTAGTAGCTCGGTCGAGTTTGAATTTGGGTCCTGTAGGTCAAAAGGCACCAGAGATATGGGATTCATGCAGAAGGAAGTTGTTTTTCTTGAATTTACATTCAACTCGTTACACTAATATTTAGGCTTTACGTGTCTAAAAATAACGATTGTAACATTTATTTGCTATTGGATTAAACTCTTATCATAAATTTTATGCCCCACTTGTGGTTGGAAATCATCATATTAAATAAATAGCTTGACGTAAAAGAATTTAAATCATTTCATTTCATTGGAAGGTTTCGCTTCTACCGCGTGTGAACTGCACACATGTTTTTTTTTTATTAAGGAGACTAAGTATTAGGGAAAAAAATAACAACCACACGAGTGCCTCGCAAATGGAGGGAAAAGGCCCTTTGTACGAGTATCGTACTTACCTTTGTTTCCTTTCATAATGCTGAGTGATGAGATTCGTGTAGAAGTTCTCGAGTGTGACCTTGGCTTTGGTGGCCTTGTCGAGTGTGTGGCCGCTAAAGCGGATGTTGTCCGTGCCCGTCATCTCCAGCACCCCTGCAACACCATGCCCGGCTTACGTTTACTGCTCTCTAGTTTCAAATCAAAACGAATTACAACAGCACAGTAACCGTAGTGCTTAATATACTTATAATTATCTACCATCAATATTAAAAGATATATACAATGGTAGCGGAAAGCGGAGAACTGCCTTCTCTAGCACATATACTCGTAAAAACATATATAATTAATGAATGTTATCGGGCTCCTTGAAAATTCTATGTTCTTTAATGAATAAAGTACTACTAATTAATACTCAAAGGTCTAACAAAAGTAGCTGCGCTGTGATCCACCACAGCATTATTCCAACTTAGTTTTTTACGTGGTAGAGCCATGCTGCAGCTATATTATGGTTGTAGCAGGAATGGGTCGGCTCGACCGGGGAAGGACCACGCTCTCACAGAAAACCAGCGTAAAATAGCAGCTTAACGCTGCTGTGTTTCGTATGGTGAGTGTAGAGAACTGGACAGCCTTTTTACTGGCAAAGAGGCATTCCATCTTAGTCCTCACGGGTGACAACGCATCTGCATTTTGAGTCTTTATTGCGGATAGATGTAGATGTCTATGGGTCACAGTAATTACTTACCATCAGGTGGACTGTGCTCGTTTGTCACCCGATCCTATAAAAAAAAATTATGCTCACAATCACAACAAAAAATTATGTGTAAATAAATATCAATATATTAAACGAAACTAATTTAATAGAATTTATCGCGTTTAATTTTTAATTTTTTAATTTATTGCCTTTTGTGCGCTTTACCATGGTCACGGAGGGGACTGAGGTGGTGAAGTTCTCATGTCAAAGTTAACGATGGCTAAATTTAACTTTTTAACGTTAATCTTTGGTCCAATATACGCAGAACGAGCTTACAGTATCTTGAAGCCTTGCAGTAGTATGCTTGGACTCGGATTGAATTTTATTGATATACTAGCTGTGCCCCGCGGTTTCACCCGCGTATATCACGCGTCTGCGCCTTGCGACATGCGAACTTCGAGAGAGACATCACGCTGGACGGTTGCTGAATTAACAAAGATTTAAAAGTGAAATATGTTACAAAAATTACATGGTTAACGTAATTGGTGGTTATGCATGATACAGGTACTGATACGAATAATGTGGCCTATTGTACCGGCGTTACTATTTCACATTTTAACATGAAAAAGTAGTTATTGTGACATACCTGTAATAGTTAAACATGTGGTATCGCAGACTTTTTTGTAGATATTGATATATTCTATAAAGCTGAAGTATATTACTTTGCTCTATTATCAATAGTTTCCGCAGCGTACGCGATATAAGGATTCTTTTTGGTATTTTTTCACACCTTGGGTTACATTAACGAAGTTTTCATGCGGATCCCTAACCTTTTTGAAAATATGATATAGCCTATGTTCATCAGTGATAATGTAGGATTTTAATGGTGAACGAATTTTTCAAATCGGTCCAGTAGTTTCGGAGCCTATTCAATTCAAACAAACAAACAAATCTTTCCTCTTTATAATAGTAGTGTAGAAGTGTAGAAGTGTAGATAATTGGAATCCCAAGCAAACGGTAGCAGCAAGCCATCTTCTCTATTGAAATTGAATGGTTTTTTTTCAATAACCTCGTAAATCAGCCTTGGTAGGAGTCTGTGTTCTTTTTTGAGGATTTGTGGTCCATATATTATATAATATATATAATGGTTGTGACGATCCTGATCATGTTGACATATTGACTGGAGATGAAACGCGTTAAAATCCGTAAAATTAGTTTGTAGTATTCGCATAAATATTAAAAACATTATATTTATTAATCTAAAACTCCTAAAACGAAAATGTCACCTAACAATAAACTGATGCAAACAAAATTTTTGTATATTTAAAATCATAACACGTTTATTCAATAATCAGATCCACCATGATATTTAACTGGCAATTTTTATCAAGCTGTTAAGGCATTTCCATTTCCACTGGGAAAGTGTCGCGGTGTTATTGCACAAGTTGCTCAATAAGAATTTCTCTTCGGGCTATTGTTTCTACATGCCGACGATCACAGGCGCACAAAAAGGAACTTATTCGGATTTTACTTGAACACAGAGTTTTGGAGAGCGCACTTGCAGCTGATTTAACTGTAAGGTCCTATTTTCTGGTGTGTATCGAAACAAAGAAAATATAGATCTACTGTTTATGGGGAACATGATCATGTCAACCAACAAATCTGACACAAGCCTAGTGTATGTGTAACGCACAATCAATACTCTTTGTTTGATTTATCTTACCTTTAATCGTACGCTGTAATTAAATACCAAGAACTTGAGAAATTGCACACAACCATTAATTAAATATTTTTATTAGGAAATGATTTTTCTGCCTTGCTTTACGATGATGTAGAGCCAATCTGTAGATACATTATAGCTACATCACAAATCAGGTCGGCTCGACCGGGGAAGGACCACGCTCCCACAGAATACCAGCCTAAAATAGCAGCATAATGATGATGTGTTTGATAATGGCGAGTGTTAAGAACCGGAATCCCTTATTTTCTGGTAACAAAACATCTTATCTTAGTTTTTACAGAGTACCAATGCATTTTCATTCTTAACTACCATACTATTTCCAAATGTTTCCATACTAAATGTATAAAATATTATATTGTAAATTATACTTTTTCGTAAAAAGTCCCGCTGACGTTCTTCCTAGGACAGAGGCTCTTTCGAACCAGTGGTAAAGCTGAAGTGATTTTTTTTTTATAAAATAAGGGTGACAAACGAGCACACAGTCCACCTGATGGTAAGCGGTTACTGTGGCCCATAGACACCTACATCTATCATCGTTTTCGAATTAAAATGCAGATGCGTTGCCGGCCGTGAGGACTAAGATAGAATGCCTCTGTTCCAGTAAAAAGGGTCTCCGGTTCTCTACACTCACCATACGAAACACAGCAGCATTAAGCTACTATTTTACGCTGGTATTCTGTGAGAGCGTGGCCCTTCCCCGGTCAAGCCGACCCATTGCTCATGGCATGGCTGTACCACGTTTAAAAAACTTTCAATAAGTATTCTTGCGATCTATATTAAATAAAAATTATTCTATTCTATTCGGTTCTGTTCTATTTTTTTTATTGTATTATGTGAGACGTAGTTTTACAAAGCGCGATAAATTTAATCTATAGTACTGTCGTGCCGTTCACAATTTTAGCAAGTTAAAAACTCGACATCAGTAGGTATATGTATTTTCATTTATTTATTTTTTATTACTACAATTAGTGTCTAGAGAACCATTTTTCAGGCAGCAGATAAAAGTTATTCATAGGTTAAAATACAACATATACGTGGTAGAGCCAAGTTGCAGCTATATTGGAAGTATAGTTATAAATATGATCACATCTCTGAATTTCGCAAACAGCTCAAATGGCTCCCGATCCGCCTTCGCAGGAATACTCACATTCTCTCTACTTTGTATAGCGTGCTGTTTAATCCTTCCTCTCCTCATTATTTAAAAGACCGTTTCCAGTATCTTTCCCTTACCCATAATCGGTTCCTTCGATCCTCCGTCAATCTTTCTCTCTCTACTCCTTCGCACTCTTCCTCCTTTTTTAAGAAATCCTTTAGTGTAACTGCTGTACGTTTGTGGAACTCTTTACCTCTCCACATTCGTCGTGCTCAATCTCTTCATTCTTTCAAATGTCTTGTTAAATCCTATTACTTAGAACACTATTAGATAAATCACTTTTCCTTTTTCGTACTCTTTTCATTTAATCTATTATATTATATCATACATAATCTTCACTTGCCTTTATTTGTATGTATTTTATATTTTTTATTTTTATTTTGTACGCCCCCCTCTATTTTTAACTATTATTTACATCAGTTCTCTACACTAAGGTTGTCTGGAAGAAATCACTTTCAGAGTGATAAGACCGCCTGTTGTACATTTTCTAATTTAGATTTAATTGTATTCGTTTTTGTTTTGTTTTGGTGTACAATAAAGAGTAAATAAATAAATAAATAAATAAATAGTTATATCACGAATGGGTCGGCTCGACCGAAGGTCGAAGGACCACGCTCTCACGGAATACCAGCGTAAAATAGCAGCTTAACGCTGCTGTGTTTCGTATGGTGAGCGTAGAGAACTGGAGACCCATTTTGCTGGAAAAGAGACATTCCATCCTAGTGAAATCAATCCTCAATAAAGAATCAAATCGTCACGGGTGACGATTTGATTCTTTATTGAGGATAGGTGTAGATGTCTATGAGTCACAGCAACCACTTCTCATCAGGTGGACTGTGTGCTCGTTTGTCACCCTATCCTATAAAAAAAAAACAAGTTAAAAATGACCGTTATATGAACAAAAAAATTACTTGTACAGAAAAAACAGAATTCTGTATTTGAACGAATAAAAAATGGAATCATTTTATTTTTTAGCCTGGCGTCCCTTCGGACCTCAACTCTTTCATCGACAAAGCCCACAACCACGATCGACCTGCGAGTGCGAACTTGCGAGTGACAATAGTACTACTTATTGCCACTCATTACACACACTACAAATTGTTTTATTGACTATTACCACGTAAAACTGAAAAAAGTTTAAATACAAATAATATTTTGTTGCCTATTTAGCATACCTCTATGCTTGGTACCTATCGTAACACTGTGTTTAATTGTGCACCGTCTTACATTTTAATTTATTTTACTTTGTAATTTTATTTAGAATTTGTGTGCAACAGAGTATGTATTACTCAAATTCATACGAGAGATTACGGGTTATCTTCGGTAGCCCAATATTTGTTTTGATTAGAAATTATATTATGGTATTTCGCAATATTCGAAAGTATGTATTGCAACTATTCACGGGTAGTTTGAGCTGTCTTACGTTCATGGTTATAACCTTCTTAAATTGTTTTATTGACTTTTATTAATAGTGTGTGATTCAATGGTCGGATATTTCGTATCAACAGCTAGAACAGTTTACAGTTAAATGAGAGAGGTCGAACATTTTTCTACTTGTATACATCTATACAAATAAATAAAATTGGAGTGTCTGTTTGTAGTGTTAAAGTAACAGCTTTTTACTAAATGCATATGAAATTATAAACTGTACTTATAACTAAAAGACAATTATTAAATTTTTGTCTGTCTGTTTGTTCCGGCTAATCTCCGAAACGGCTGTACCGATTTTGATGGGACTTTCACTGGCAGATAGCTGATGTTATAAGGAGTAACTTAGGCTACTTTTATTTAAGAAAAAGAATCAGGGTTCCGCGCAAAACAAAATTAAAAACCTAAATTATACGCGGGCGAAGTCACAGGGAATAAATAAAAATAAATAAATAAGAGCAAAAAAAAGACCACGCCCTCACAGAATACCAGCGTAAAATAACAGCTTAATGCTGCTGTGTTTCGTATGGTGAGTGTAGAGAACCGAAGACCATTTTTACTGGAAACGAGGCATTCTATCTTAGTCCTTAAGGACGACAACGCATCTGCATTTTGAATTCGGAATAGCTGTACATGTCTATGGATCACAGCATCTACTTACCATCAGGTGGACTGTGTGCTCGGTTGTCATCCTTATTCTATAAAAGAAAGTAATAAATTCTGAAATTACAGACACCTTATATTTTACAATGCGTATATAATAAAATGTTTAAACCAACACCAACAATGGCCAGAGCGGATGTGTACCATCCTATGGATAAACGCTGCCATTTTGTAGAATAAAAAAATGTTTAATACGCTTAGAGTCTAATCAACTTATGTACGTAATGAAGTAAAACCAGCACCACAACCACACCACATCGGCGCAGCTGTGCAACGATAATGCCTAATGAAGTTTAAATTTCTTTTACCATTGATGACACCCGTAGTAAGCAAACTGTTCAGTCAGTTAAGAGCAGTACAACTTTTAACGCTTGTTAAACATTTCAGTGCGAGCTAATTATTATTATATTTATTAGTAGAGGTGGTAGGAGATGGTAGGAGACCGAGGTAGTATCGTGGCTCAGGTGTCCATGGCATGTAGCCACCTGCCAGCAGGCAAAAAAAAAATAACGCATCCATTTTGTATGGAACTAACGAGCCGCCCCGGCTTCGCACGGGTGATTTCTGGAGCCACCTACCTGGTCCAATTGTAAATCTAAACCATCCTGGGACTCACTCAACACACACCCAAAAAATTCATCAGTATCTGTCGAGCCAGTTTCAAGTAGCGAGACAATTAATATATATTTTTTACTATCATCATAACGCCCCCGCAATCCTCTTCGTGAGTGGAATTTCGTAAAATTCGTTCTCATTGAATTCAAGATGACAAAAATTATAATTTCGCCAAATTTCAAACCTGTAGGAGCTATAGATTAAAAGTTTATTTTTTTTATTTTTAACGCCCCCGCACTGCTCTTTGTGAGTTGAATTTCATAAAATTCGTTCTTGGTAATTTTCAACTTGCCAAAAAGAATATTCTGCCGAAGTTTTGTACATAATATAAGAGTTATAGTTTGAAAATGTGATTTTTTTTAATTAACGCCCCCGCAAACGCCTCGCGGGTTGCGGGTGGAATTTCGTAAAGTTCGTTTTAAGCTGACCTCTACTCGGCGAAAGGAATATTCCACCAAATTCGAAGTCTCTAGGCTTTATGGTTCCAGAGATAACGAGATGAGTCAGTACATAGGTGGAAATCTCTTTATATATATACTATTACAACAGTTTGATACCTTAGTTAAATTCGAACAATATCTTGCCGCATTTACGAGTAACAGACGGTTCACTTATTACGTAACACGATAGTGTCAGCGGCGCGTCACGGAGTCCAGCCTTGACGGCCAACAATTGTCTTCAGTTGCTATTGCGAGAGACGCGACAGCGAATCAACAACGAGCTCTTGACATTTTCAACTTATAAAGTAAACACTTAGCATTATTTACGGAAGCGTGAATACGTCATCACGCTGAATAAATTTTACAACCATCTAAACTTTTTAAGGAACGCGTGACCCAGTGGTAATGTCCTTCGAACCGAATTTCGGCCAAGGCGGCCAGTCTGAACAGAGACAAGCCATTTTTGCAGGACAGGAATATAGTGCCCAATAGCATGCGCAAGAATTTTATGGCAGAAAAATTCAATATCTAATTTTGGCCCAACTCGGCATTCGAACCCGGGACTTCATGATCAGCAACAGCGTGTACGACCCCTAGGCCAATGAGGCAGTCAAAAGTGAAAGCCCAGTGGTGCTGTATACCTGGAAGCTATACGTATCGGGCCCTGTCTCTTTGAGGAGCATATCATTCCAAGCCACCTCTATAAAGATTGTGTTCATATAGCTTCCGACATAAGCGGTTCAATAATTCAACGTTAGGCTGATATAACACAAAAATATTTAAGGTAGCAGAGAAAAAATTAAATGATACTAAGCTATAGTATGTTTGCCTAGTATAGTAAGTTAATACATCGCCGCGATGTGAAAAACAATGATAACAGACGATCATATTTAGCGATATGGTGTTAACTCGGCAACAGAGCCCACGCTGCCACGGTCGCGGTATGCTGAGACCTTGGAACACGAGCTGTACATTTTTTTAACTACATATCATAAAGTGCTTGGCTACTATCCCACTTGATAGTAAGTGGTGATGTAGCCGTAGATGGCAAAGCGCACTGAATCAGTTTAAAAAAGGCCTATTCACTCTTGTCTTAAGGACACTCACATCGTAATCTCATGGAAAGACAAATGCTGGCAAATTATTTCACTCCTTTGTTGTAAGCATTACAAACGACAAAGCAGAACATTTTTCTAATGTGTGGTATATATACAACAAAGGTGTAGAGGTCAGCCGAGCGAGCATCTGACGGTCCGATATGGTCTAATATGGAACGAAGAGGGAGAAATGAGAACATACAATTCATGCGCACACTCTCAAGTGTAGCATGGCGCGCATGACAGAATGCTGCTGCTTTAAATGTACGCAGACATCCCGCACCATCTCATTCACCACTAAATGCTCATGCTTTATGCATAGGCCAATACTAAATCTTTCCATATGGGGGTCAGATATTAAGCCACATATTAACATTGTACCTTAAACAAAATTACAAATAATATTTTTTTTATAGGATAGGGTGACAAACTACCACATAGTCCACCTGATGGTAAGTGGTGGCTGTGGCCCATAGACATCTATATCTATCTTCGCCAGCGAATCAAAATGCAGATGCGTTGTCACCCGTGAGCACTAAGATGGAATGCCTCTTTTCCAGTAAAAAGGGTCTCCGGTTCTCTACACCCACCATAGGAAACACAGCAGTGTTATGCTGCTATTTTACGCTGGTATTCTGTGAGAACATGGTACTTACCCGGTCGAGCCGACCCATTCGTGCTACAACTATACTACTAATACAGCTGCAGCATGGTTCTACCACGTATGTGGAGTCATATACTTGAGGTGAGGTATATATTATAATGATAAACATAATTGAACAAGATAAAGTTGTAAAAAAATGTTATAGTAACTTACCCGGGGGCTGGGGCGCTGGTGCTGGTGTGTCAGGGGCCACCGTAGTGCCCGGGTTGCTTTTCCCCCAAGACACGGCTCACTCTATGTCAAATAAACCCAAATTATTTACAAACCTGATATTGTTTTATTTAACTTTTTATTAGAGATTGCTAAATGAAAAATGCATGCACCTACATTGTATTTTTGGTAGATTATGTCACTTTTGTCTTGTCAGATATAGTAAAAATGCCTAAAATGGAAAAATGATTTTTTTTTTATATACATCAATCTTACACATTGAATAAAACTAATTTTGCAGATTTTATAATGTTTAACTTGTATAATCGATGCTCTTGGGAGTCTGCAGTCCATGAACCTGTTGAAGATTCCCCCAAATGTGGTAAAGCACAAATCCTCGCAAAGCTGCATTGATTCCTACCAAGGATGATTTGTGAGGCTATTGAAATTATAAAACATCCGAAATAGAAGATGGCTGGGTGCTACAATCTGCTTGAGATATCTAATATATATATATATTTCATGCGCTGCCATATTGCTTGCACTTGTGCAGAGGTTATAGGCATAGAACAACTAACTAACAAAAAGGGGGCGCGCGTATCGTACCAACAAATTTATTTGATAGTTATACATCACTCAACTTCAATTAATGTATTATCATTCCTAATTGAACAGTATAACTACAATTATTTTTTCTGTGGCAGCAACTAGCTGGGTACCAGCTAGTTTTTAATAAAATTAAACTAACCTAACCATACCATTATAAGCTAAGCACATCACTAACCATAACCTAACCATTACTTAAGCATACCACTGCAAGACTTCGAGATACAGTAGGCTAGCTCTTATAGATCTGGTAAAACACATGTCCTACTTGTGACCATAACATCAAGAACATCAGGAAATAAAATAAATCTAAGGTATCAAATTTAATGTGAAAAATCTATAGGGAACAAACACAATCTAGTGATATCAGTTTATTGACTCCACAGATTCCGTAATTCATTCTTAGGGCAATGTATACGCTATTACAAAAAACAAAGTCCCAGAAAATATGTAAAGGTATCTCTATTGCCAATTCTAAATATTTTATTAAACAAAAACTGTATAAAAAGAGTTATTATAATATAAATGAGTACATGGTTGATAACAACCCATGGAAATAAGGTTTTTGCTAGGGGATGGAGGGAAGTGAAAGTTACATTCATACCCAAACCAGGTAAGAGCAATTACACAGACCCTAAATCCTACAGGCCCACTAGGCTCACATCCTTTCTCCTAAAGACGATGGAGATAATGTGTGAAAGCGAATTTAGGGGGTCGGCACTAATGAACTTACCACTACACGACAAGCAATACGCCTACAGTCTAGGCAAATCAAGAGAATCGGCACTTCACCAGGTAATAACAAAGATTGAAGAGGCCATCCAAAACAAAGAAATATGTCTAGGTTCCTTCACTGATATAGAAGGTGCTTTTGACAGAACGAACTTCTCCAGCATAGCACTTAGTAGACATAAAGTTGAACCGGCACTGATTGACTGGATAGTATACATGCTCAATACATGAATAATAAAGATTGCTGGTGAATCTCAACCAATACAAATTAAGAAAGGCTGCCCGCAGGGTGAGGTTCTCTCACATCTCCTGTGGAATATGATCATTAATGAACTCATCAGCAAATTAAATGCCAATCACTTCTACACAGTAGGTTATGCTGATGACCTGACAATACTGGTCTCTGGAAAGACAGCAAGTATAGTGTGCGACCTGACCCAAGCGGCTCTCCATATAGTGGAGAGATGGTGCAGGGAATACAACTTAACCATCAATCCAAATAAAACGGTTCTAGTAATGTTCACACAAAAATGAATGCTAAATAACTATCATCTCCCAAGTCTTTTCAGCACAAAACTCCAGCTATCCTCTGAGGTAAAATATTTAGGTCTTAACTTGGACAGCAAACTTAACTGGAATAAACACATAGAAAACAAAATCAACAAAGCTAGTGTAACTTTCTGGCAATGCAGAAACATGATTGGCAAAATATGGGGACTGACGCCAAAAATCATACCGTGGCTGTACAAAACTGTAATTCGGCCCATGATCACATACCGCGCTATGGTATAGTGGACCAAGACAAATGAAGCGACCACTATAAAGAAGCTTCAGGGCTACCAGAGACTGGCATGTATGGCTGCCACAGGCTGCATAAGGAATACACCAACAGCAGCCTTAGAAGCCCTCTTCATCTACACATACAACAAGAAGCGACTTTAGCTGCCATCAGACTCAAGACCCTAAATCTTTGGAGTAAGAATAGTGTCCCTCATACAGGCATAATTGATAGAATTCACTCAAAAATCTTACAAGCCAAGTACGATAAGATTCCTAAACAATTTGTTTTCGATAAGAAGTACAAGATACAACTAAATGAAACCAGCCAGCCGGAGGGATTTAGCCCAAAAGAGCTTAGAGTTTTCACCAATGGTTCTAAAATAAATGAAGGTGTAGGTTCTGGAACTTTCTTTGAAGACCTCAATATCCACATATGCACACCGCTGGGTACCTATAACACAGTCTTTCAGGCGGAATGTATGGGTATCATTCAAGCGGCCATAGCAATAGATGCTAGAAAGGTCTTCCTATTAATGACTTCTCCATCAGAATACTGACCAACAGTAGGGCGGTACTACAAGCTCTGAGTTGCAATGTGGTGAACTCAGAACTAATATATGAATGCCATCAACTATTAAATGAGGTATGTAAAAACAACAATGTGACTCTGCAATGGATAAAGGGGCACAGTGGATCCAGAGGCAACGATGCAGCATACGAACTGGCCAAAAGAGGATCGGCTCTGGCCACTATAGGACCGGAATCAATCATACCAATCCCCTTTGGTAATGTTTGTTCACTGGTACATAGACACTTCACTAATCAACATGCTCAGCTTTGGAAAAATCTAGTAGACTGTAGACAAGCTAGGGAGGCCATGTTCTAATGAGACTGAACAAGTCGCAGATCAGGATAGTAACAAGTGCTATCACAGGACACGGCACCTTTAACAAGCATTTATTTACTATAGGTGTTACAGATAGTCCCCTGTGCAGGGCATGTATGGGGGAGGAAGAAACAGGGGCTCATGTGCTACTGAAATGTCCGGAGGTCGCTACGTACAGGACTAAACATCTCGGCATGCCGGGATCACTCCCCGAAGTTGCATGCAACATCAAAGGACTGTTGAGCTTCTTCGGGGACATCTCATGGCTCGAATAATCACATTATTCCTGCCCACATACAAAATATGCGCATAGACGTGGAATTGCAGAAAACAGCCAGTCGTAAACTAGGTAAACTAATATGGTTGTTGCTAAAAAGCTGTTTCTAAAATAAATTTTGTAAATACTTTGTACAACCTTTCATATTGTATTTACTTTGTTTTTTAAATGTCCCGCTGGGTTTCTAGCTGGAGGTATTGTTTCGGACTTGTGGTAGAGTAAAATATGACTTTCAATATGAATTACATGTAATCTATATAAAATGAAATTGTTTTATTCTATTCTATGTAAAAGAAATTTATTCAATGGTAAAATCTACAAAAACACAATACAAAGGGCTCGCAGATTACGATTTTATTGTACTTAGCACAATAAAATGTTACAAAATCTACCAAAACTACAAGGTACACGCAGTTTCTACTTACTAGTATTTGTAATATTTAATATATTTATATTAAACAAAAAATCACAAATTTCTTTAATATAAAACAGATTGTCTCCTGTAGAACAAGGTGTGATACACTAGGTTCCTAAATTTATATTGGCTAAGATTGAATATCTTTACTAAATGCTTTACTTTACTCATAATTTTTAAATTGAGATTTTAATTAATTATTAAATTTAATAGTATTTTTCTTGAAATTTGATGGTTTTATCATTTTTTATAGTTGAAATCAGTTTGAGCTCTAGTTGTCTCTCTCGGTTACCTAGATCTATCATTTGAGCACATCACCGGCAGAAAATTGTTAAAACCTATTCCTCAAATTTCTTACAGCCCAGATTCTCTCAAGGAAGTTATGTCATAAAAGCCTACTTTAAATTAAATTAATATATTAACATTTAAAAAAAAATTATGTACATTTGATATTGATTTTATTATAAGTTTTAAATGACATTATAACCAGCCAGTTTCTTGCTGGGTCATCTCAGTATCACTGTTTTACAAATTATATTAGATTTTGACTTTCATAGTTTTTATTTCCTATGAGTTTTTAAGAAGCTTCAATTTAATAAAAGTTGTGACTTTAACTTTATTCACATTCCTACATAACCAAGTATCTCAACATGGTTATATGTTTGCTGTACTAAAAATCACTTGAGATCCAAGTAATTCAGCTTACGAACATAGGTATAGGCCACAAAAACATAACATGATTATGAAATGTGGCGCTGTTTTGGTAAAAATAATAATACAAATATAAATCTCTAATATAAAACTCCCATAACAAAACATATTTGGGAAGTTATTACAGAACTTTACAGAAAGTGAAAAACATAATTAGAAAATCAATTACATCAGACTGATCTTCTATCTAGTTAGAGTAGGATTAGAAAATAGCATGGTATTGTATGAAAATTATGAACTATGTAGTAGTGTAATACAATGGTACTACTGTTTCCTGTTATTCAATATGTCCCAAATAACAACTGTTCAGAACAATTATCGTTGTTGCTGATTGACCTAATGTGAAGACATTGAGCACTTGAGTTAGAAGTGTAATCACAGCAAAGTATTTATAGACCCGAACATTGATCATCAATAGATATCGTACAAATCGCGATTGTTTTTCAATTAGCTGATCCACTGTTTAATACAAACCTTGAATATTACTGCTTCACAAATTTTTACAACTGCTACGCTAGTATCCGTACACACTAATAAATAAACAGCATGAAAACAATATGTTACAGAAAAAAGGTTAAAATCGATAATAAACCGTAACAATAAGTGAGCGTTAAAATAGAAACCACTGCTTTAGCGCTGGCCAATGCTCAAGCCAAGTTCTGGTACTGACTATGAACGACCGCCACAAATAGTTAATGCCTTTGTTAAATGAATTATGAAAGGAAAATAACGGGATTTATTAAAGAGCGATCCCAAGATATTGCACAAAGGAAGATGTCAGACGACAGCACAGATTACATATCACAGTCAAAGAGTATATAATTATTACGTTTCAATTATAACAAAACATAGAGTAATAGCAGTAGTATAGAGGAACGAAGTAGGAACAGTAGGCATGGGTAAGAACAACACGACGTTCCCACCGTGAGTGATTGTAGTCGTCCTTTTAGTAGTCTGTGGTCGTGGTTGAGTATTAGCCCACCAGGAGTAAAAGTATTATGTGGTATTAGCAGTGTCCGTTCCTGCAGAGATTTTTTTCATATTTACGTATCAAAATGGTTAAATGTGCAGTTCGATCTTGCTAAAACGATACTCACACACAAAAGTGAAATCCAGTGTCACATTTCATCCGTAAGTCGATTTTATACTTAATTTTATGAAAACAAATTACGCATCGCTGGGGTGAAGTAGACGTGGGAGGCGGGCAAGCTCAGGCCCGTCCGATATAAAACTACATATTACGAGAAATAATAAGATGTTATTATAATAATTAATAACTTTGTTTGATTGAAAATATTGCATTTCAATATGATTCATGTAAACAACATATAATTATTTAATTTACAAATAAAAAAAAACAATGTGTGTCGTGAAGACACACGATAGAAGTGAAACTTTTGTATTACAGCGAAATATTTCAATTATTCATCAATGAATGGAAGTATTTATTCCATCATCTGTGGTATCCATCGGAGGCAGATCTCAGCCTTGGTTTGGCCGCTCCTGTAAGACTGCATAACGCAGTAAGCAGGAGTATTATCAGGCCTGAGCTGGGGATGCGGCGGCTCGGGATGTTAACACTAGCGTGTTTAAAAAGAAGTATAACTTCGCTTCCAGGTCCTAAGGAGTTATCGCCAAGGCAGAGTCTGAGCACATAGACAGAATTGGCGAGAAACTAGTTCGCCTTCCTTCGGGAACCCATGCATTCTGGTCTCTCGCCAGAGCTGTCCAAGGGAATTTCTGTAAACCATCACTACCATACGGCGCAAAAGAGAAAGCCAACCTTTTCGGCTCCCTTTTTGCGTCCAACTCGACTCTTGATGACGGGGTGGAACACACCGTCGACTATCCAGCGACACAGCGCTCGGTTCGCAAAGCACTCCTCTCCCTGGAAATCTACAAGTCGAGTGGGCCTGACGGAATCCCCCAATTGTGCTGAGGACGTGTGCTCCAGAGTTGGCACCGGTTCAAATGCGTCTTTTCCGGTACGCCTACTCCCTAGGCGTAGTCCCAAAATCATGGAAGATAGCTTTTGTCCACCCGATCCCTAAAAAAGGCGACCGCTCAGACCATTCCAACTACAGGCTAATCACCATCACCTCCTCGTTCTCCAAAATAATGGAATCCATTATAAACTGCCAGCTCATGCGGTATCTTGAGGATGGCCAACTGATTAGTGACTGCCAATACAGTTTCCTTAGGGGTCAATCAGGTCGTGATCTTCTGGTCTACCTGACTCATAGATGGTCGGAGGCAGTAGAGTCCAAGGGGGAGACATTGGCCGTTAGTTTGGACATTGCGAAGACCTTCGATCGGGTTTGGCACAAAGTGCTTCTTTCGAAGCTCCCTTCCTATGGGCTTTCCGAGAAATTGTGCAATTGGATCACCAGCATTCTTGCATAGCGGAGCATCAAGGTCGATGTAGATGGTGCATGCTCCGACTACAAGCCTATTAACGCTGTTGTTCCACAAGACTGCGTGCTATCACCAACGCTGTTCCTTCTGCATATCAATGATATTGTTGCGCGCCACTATTAATGTCTTGTCCATGGCAACACTAGTTACACTAGCGCCCCTTAGTGTCGAGTAAATGAAAGTATTGCGCGCCACTTTAATGTCTTGTACATGGCAACACTAGTTACACTAGCGCCTTCTAGTGTCGAGTAGCAGAACTAGGAGAGTCGAGATCCTTCCAGAAATTTCGGAACCGATATGTACTCGAACATTCTAGATGTCGCTACAGTAGAAGGTTCTGGAAACTATCCGAGGCCCTATATAAGGCCGGTATAGACCACGACCGGAGCAGTATTGAATTGGCGATACAAGAGAATACTTCGAAGCGAAATAACGGCGAACTGTGTTTTATTATTAGTGTGATTTTAGATTGTAATTAGTGTTGTGTAATTAAAGTGTTAATTTTGGCAGTTTTTAATTGTCTCGAACCCCGAGCTCGTAACAATATGTTGCAAACCGGTAACATTCATTGCTATGCGAATGACAGCACTGGTGATGCTCTATACACCGGCCGTGCCGATATTTCTCGGGAAAACGTTGCCAAGTACGGGAAGAAACTTGTGTCTGAAGTTTAGTCTTTGCTAAACAAGTCCCGGATTGGGGGCGACTAAATCTGGTCCAGTTTAATCCTCAGAAGACACAAGTTTGCTCGTTTACCGCTAAAAAGAACCCTTTTGTCGTATTAACTCAGATTCAGTTCAGTAAATTCTGGAAATATACTAAAAATTTAAATCAGAAAACGAGCCTGCCTTTGAGCGTGGCAAGGATCTGCGGGCCATCTGAAATCGCCTATGCATTTCGTAAGCATTTTATGGTCGAGCCTCCAGTAGTTAGTATTGAGTAGGCTCAGGCTACCTATCCGGGTGGCTCCCAGATTGGATTCTTGGCTAAGATCATTAGAGACACTATTCAACGGATGGTAAGAGGGAAATCACCCGGTTATGATGGTTTGAGTATTGAACACTTGAAATATGCTGGTGCTCACATACCTCGAGTTACTATGTTTTATAGTTAATGTCTAATTCATAGTTACTTACCAGCTCAGCTTACTAAAATTTTTTGTAAAGACGGGGAATGCCTCTAATATTTCAGATTATAGACCAATTTTCTTGGCCACTATTATGTCGAAAGTACTGGACAGTCTGCTTGATAACATATTAACGGAACAAGTACAAGTAAAAGATAATCAATTTGAATTTAGGCCCGGTTTGTCGACCGAACAGGCTATTTTGTCCCGTAAACAGACTGTCCAATACTACGCTGCCAGAAAAACGCCTGTATTCGCATGTTTTTTGGATTTATCTAGGGCTTTTGACCTTGTTAAAATTGGGTAATTATGGCAGAAGCTAATGCACCAAGTGATGAAACTAATATGCCAATTGAAATTATATCGATATTCCAGTACTGGTACAAGCACCAGAAAAATATTGTGAAATGAGATGGTTCTCGGATACTTCGGATTCCGAAGTATGTGGGTTACCATGTGGCGTGAGGCAGGGTGGGTTAAGCTCTCCAAGACTGTTTAACCTCTATGTAAACCAGTTGATGAGTCGACTCAACAGTGAAAACGTTAGCTGTTACGTAGATGGTATTTGTGTAAATAGTATCATTTTCGCTGATGATATGATGCTGTTGAGTCCAGTTTAAACGACTTGTCTATTTGTGAAGGCTACGCAGCGGCTCACGGACTTAGGTAAAACACAAGGAGTGGATTCTATTTAAGTCGGGTTCAATTAACTACACTGTATTTCCGGAAATTTCATTGTCGGAAACTATGAAGCGGGTTGCGAGTTTTAAGTATCTGGGCCACTGGGTTACAGTTGATTTGAAAGACGATTTGGACATGGAGAGGGAGCGTAGATTGTTGGCGGTTCGTTGTAATATGCTGGCTCGCAGGTTTGCACGTTGTAGTGGGCAAGTTAAAGTAACGCTTTATCAAGCTTTTTGTCAATCGTTCTACTGTTGCAGTCTGTGGGTTAGCTATACCCAGCGAGCAGGCAGTGATCTACGTATCCAACACAACAATGCCTTGAGGGGCTGCTATGGCGATGCAACTCCTCAGGCATGTTCGCTGATTGCCGTATAGTTAGAACTCGGTGTGCTTCCGCGCTAACCCGTTCGCGTAACAGTACCAACAGTGTCCTTGGGGTATTCGTTGATCGGTGGGACTATCCACTTCTACAAGCGTGTGTCGTCTACACAGCAGCATAACAGTGTATATGTTGTTGTGTGGATCTATCTCACAATTGTTTTTGTGTATTTTGCTGTTGTTTTTGAAGTTTTTTATATGTATTGTTTTAATAACCCTAGATATAATTTTAATTTGTTAAAAACTCATATGGACTCTTCCTGAAATAAATAAGTAAATAAATAAAAAATGTTTACGTAAGCATTGCTAAGAGCTTTGCATATAGCATTGTTTTGCTGACGAGGGGGACGGGGCAGTCAAAAATTACAAGTTCTGCTTTCGTTATACTTGACCGGCCCCAGAAGATGTACTAGAATAATGCATTTCCCCAACACCCACAATATGGTGTTCATAGGAGACTCCAACGCAAAATCAAGCACAAGAGAAGAGAAGAAAAGAAACAGTCTCTTTATGATGACATCTTTCTTCCAGATAGACCCCATAGAAAGCAACCTGGTCTTGCCTAGACGGTTCCACGAAACACTTGATTACGACCAGTGATGTATGAATGATCACGGTGCTGAAAACTGGTAGCAATCACCAAATAGCCCTCTCTACAGTACACTTAACCATACATAAATTATCGTCTTTAGTGCCTAGATGATTACAAATATTAAATACAGCTCTTTTTGAAAAAGCTATTGAAAGGTCTTCTAAAGGCTAAAAGTCCAAAGTCTTTGTAAGAGATCTATCTGTCGGAAAGTGTCAATTGACGAAGTTGAGGACCAACTATGTTTAACCGTTATTTCCAGGGATTCACACACTCTTGTGTGCGATTTAGAGATTCTACGGAGAGCTGCGTTGGAGCGATACACGAGTGTAACGATGCAAGAGCAAAATCTTGTCCGACACTATTCCAGTAATATACCGGACGATGGTCATAGTTTCCTTTCTATCTATTTATTCCCGACAGTGAAGGCACGAAAACCCCTGAATCGAAAAAAATTTGTTCCATACCCCCAATATTATTGCAAGACCGAGGTTCCGATAAGGACCGTTGTTTGTTGTTTAACCGCAAGGACGAGGACCGATAAGGTTCGAGGGTGACACTGAAAATTCTTAGAAAATCAAAAACTGAACAAACTAGCATGTTATTAGTTTTATTATATCTTTTCAAAATAGTGTCCATTTACATCAATACATCGCTGCGTCCGATGAATCCACTGAGAAAAGCAATTTGCCCACTCGTCCTTAGGGGTCTCTTCGACGGCATTTTGAAACGCAGCCACTGCTTCCTCAGCGTCCATAAAACGTTTTCCTTGATGTTTTCTTTTATTTTCGGAAATAAATAAAAACCGCGAGGTCGGGGCTATAGGGCGGGTGACCCAGTAATTCCACGTCTGACATCGCCAAGTAGTCGATTGTTTGCTTAGCGGTGTGTGACGGGGCGTTGTCGTGGTCAAGGAGGATTCTACTGCGAAGTCGTTTCTTTTCGAACTTTTTCCAAGACAAATGGCAAAAAAATGTTAGTGTACCACTCTGCAGTAACTGAAATAACTTAAAAACTAAATAAATTAAAATAAAAGAAATACTTCGAGGAAATCGTTGCGTTTCAAAATGCCGTCAAAGAGACCCCTAAGGGCGAGTGGGCATAGTGCTTTTGTCAATGGTTCCATCGGATGCAGCGATGTATTGATGTAAGTGGACACTATTTTGAAAAGATATAGTAAAACTAATAACTTGCTAGTTTCTTCAGTTTTTGATTTTCTAAGAACTTTCAGTGTCACTCTCGTAAGACACAATTTCTCGTCACGTATACCTCAAAACTATAAAACAAGCAGTGCGTGTCGCCAGTGTTGACATATCGACGTGAGACGTGGTCCTTCACTTTTGACCCTATCCGAATTTTCAAGGTAATTCAGCGAGCTATGGAGAGGGCAGCAGAACCAGAGCAACGAGTTAGCTAAAGTGGCAATAGGCCGACCACTATAGCTCAAATAACTGAAAAACAATTGGGAAGAAAGTTTCTCATTTGGAAACTTCGGCAGGCGAACCTGCCCAGTGGGTCGAGCGACGATCTGGTAAGAGATGCAGGAGAATCCAAAGGCGATGGATGCAGGACCAATAGCGGAAACCCGCTTGTCATAGTTATTTAACCACGGCTACCTCAAGTTTAAAATTATTAATTTTTGTTTTTTTTTTAATCACGACGTAGCCACGGTTAACTAGGTAGGTATGTCATTGGGTATTTTGTTATCATTGATGTCAATTACAAGTTGGGCTGAAGTTATGGGACGTACAAAAAACGCATATCGCAATTCGCAACGTTTTTTTGTAGTCTTTAGTCGGCGGGTGTGTGTGTATATGTATAGATAGCGACAGTGTGCGAGCGAGAGGTGAATAGAGGTGACGCCAATATCAGTCCCATTGTTTAACCGCATTGGTTGTACTGCTAGTGTACTAATACGCTCACTGAAATACGGAACGATCGTAAAATTGTAGTGACTAACGAATTCAGTCTACCTACTGCATACTGGCTTTTTATAGGCTAAGGGTGACAAACGAGCACACAGTCCACCTGATGGTAAATGGATGCTGCGGCCCATAGACATCTACGTCTATTCTCGAATACGAATTAAAATGCAGATGCGTTGTCACCCGTGAGGACTAAGATGTAATGCCTCGTTTCCAGTAAAAAGGGTCTCCGGTTGTTCGGTCCCCATACGAAACACAGCAGCGTTAAGCTGCTATTTTACGTTTGTATTCTGTGAGAGCGCGGTCGTTCCCCGGTCGAGCCGACCCATTCGTGATACAACTACTACTAATATAGCTGCAACATGGCTCTACCACGTAAGATGGCTACTGCAGCACGTGGACATCTGCTGCGAACTTCAAATAAAGAACGCTAGATGCGTTGTCAGTTGTCACCTTCGCCGATTATGATGTAATGATTTAGTCTTATTTATCTATATGCCTCTAAAAAGATTATATATATATATATATATATATATATATATATATATATATATATCTCTTGTTCTGCCCTTTCCGACGACCCTTCCTATAAAAATCCTTAAATTCGCAATAACATATTTTGAGGGTCATTTATCGGGATAAAAACTATCCTATCTCTCAAGTGGGACCAAAATGCACACAGTGTGCAAAATTTCATTGAAATCAGTTCAGTAGTTTAGGAGTCCATCGCGGACAAACAACGTGATACGTAATTTTTATATATAATAAAGATATATATATATACATATATATATATATATATATATATATATATATATATATATATATATATATATATATAAAATTATTTAAAAAGACAATGGAACTCAGCAGTGCAGGCAATGCTATTTGGTGGCAGAAGTAGGAAAGAAGTCTGTACCCACACAGACCTACACAGACGGAGTCCTAGCACATTGAGATCGTTGAGATGAGCGAACGCGAACTGGCGCTGCTGTAGTCAAGCTTCGAGCAGTGATTGAGAACCAAACAACAAGTGTGTCAAGTATACTCACGCGTGATGCTGGCGCTAGTTTATCGATATATCTACAGAAATAACACGGTAGACGTGCGAACAATACAAGAACTACTTATTTCTACTGTGATTTAATGTATTAAAATAAACTGTTACGCGGGAATCGCATATTTCTATTTATTGTAATTAAACCTCGATCGCCTGTCCCTAATTTCCTGGTTCAAGCTCCATCGATAGCGATTTGAGGTATTTTTAAGGTAATGAGGTATAATTAATCATTTTCACATTCACCCTGCATCTTTGTTCCTCGATCCTCTCCGCTATATAGAAATAGAGATTTTAGTGTTCTGTACTCGTTCCTCTATTTCTATATAATAACAGCTCTCGATATCTAAAGGTGTACCGGAAGTAAATAAACGTCGGTGGATCAAGGAACGTGTAGTCTTGTCTTGCTTACTATGTGAAGGAATTGGCTGAATAAATTAAATGAAACAGCGATATGTCCGTAACTTATTTTCTTTTTGATTAATATACATGAGGCAAAGCTAGACATTCTTTCCGTGGTCGAAGCTGGCTTGTATTTGGCTGTCGTGTATGAACTTGTACCCCATACCGCCGGTCTGAGCACCTAAAAAAATAAAATATTATGAAGCACGACAGACACAGTCAGTTAAACTGATCAGTTAATCTGATGTACATCCAAAAACTGACCGTCAGTGTGAAATCTTAATTTGAAGCCAGTTAGTGGGGAAATAGTTTTGGCTTACATCCGTTTTAACTGATCAGTTAAACAGATCATTTCATGTGATTAATTTAATTGACCGTGTTTGTCAAGCTTAATGCTTTTCGTCTTTTAATTTGATAAAGAAGGTAGAAATTAAGTGTCTAAAACCCATGAAGAACGAAGAAAAAGTCAATAAAAAACAATTGTTTTAAATTTTTTCTTCTGAAATATCCGCTACATAAAATGCCTTGAAACATTTGTTCATACTCCGCACGCTCAATCAATGCAATCTCAATGGAACGGATTCCGCATTAGTTGGTCCAATATAATTTCATTATCATCACTACCATCACGAGTCCACTTCTAATCATGGACCAACGAATGTCACAAAACACGGGCATAAGTCAATTGTGTCTATCGACTTATATTATTAATACAAGATATATATACGAGTATCATTAATTTACGAAAGATTTAACGTTTAATGTGCATTCAAAAACTTAATATGGTACCTCAAATGAAGTCATAAAAAGTTTTTCTTGAAAAGTTATTTCAAGTGCGGATCAGATTTAAAATCTTTCTGTTTTTGCATACTTTATGAAACCCGTGACACTCCGAAGATGAATGTTACATTCATCTCGTCATTCTCTCGTCTCGTGTCACGTCTCTTCGCACTTCAAAAGCAAGGCAGTACGTTTTAAAAACAGAACCCTACTTCTCATTCAGTAGGGTAAAACGAAAAGATAATTCGATATGGCATATATAGCAAACATTAGCGTCATTTGACCTTAACTAGGTGAAAGAGATTCTTTTCTAATCATTTTTTATATTTACGCAAATGCTACACATAAAATGAAAGTGATTTTACAGATTTACGGAAGGCTACCTTCGGTAATATATAAAAGTTAAAGGTAGCCTTCGTTAACTATGACATCAGGACGGTAAGTAGATGCCGAGGCGCATAGATATCAACATTTTGTCCTCAATTAGGAATCAAAATGCAGATGCGTTGTCACAGGATCTTCGGTATTCTACACTCACCATACGAAACACGGCAGCATTAAGTTGCTATTTTACCCTGGTATCCTATGATGTATCTTTGGGAGTCTGCCTTGTCCCTTAAAGAAATGGATTGTGAGGATATAAGTAACGCACCACCTCCAGGTCCGCCGACGACATGTTCCCCGTTGTCGACGATCACGTCTGATGGCACATCGCGGTTCTCCGTGCGGAAGTTGGCCGGCTGCACCTGTGGTTATGCACTTGTTCGTTACTGCGCCAGCCACACCCATATCAACATAGTTAAACCTAACTGCGTCATGGGTTTAGTGGTCATACACGTGATTATCATGAGGTCCCACTTTCAAATCCCGGCTCGAACCAAACATTTTTCAGTAGCAGCCCAAAGTAGGAAGTTTGGCGGTGGTTCACACCCCTACCTCGGAAAGCACGTAAAGCCGTTGGTCCTGCACCAGATCTCTCTCTGGTTGTGTCGGATTACCGCAACCACGCAGATGGTTAACCTCCGTGACCGAAATTCGGTCTAGAAGACATTATTGTGTATATATATATATATATATATATATATATATATATATATATATATATATATATATATATATATATATTCCGAGAGGATTTTATTTATTTATTCATTATACCCTTTTCTCTCTGCTCTTGGTAAGGAAAGTCCACTGTTGCCCAATGCCTGATGGCGGATTTCAGATATCTTTGAAATGTTAATTTTTTTTTAATTTCTCATACATAGAACCTTATTTTCTATGTTTTCGTCACCTAGAGTACGGTACCTTGTAAACTGTACGCGTACATACAGCACTTTAAATAATTGGAGCCATCGTGGAATGAATTTGACTTGCTCGCGCACTATTAATATATTTACTACAAGCGCTATGGTAGCTCTAGGTGGTAAATAATGTAAATAAATCCATCTAAAACGCAACCAGTAGACTGTTGATAGAAAGCAATATTACCAGAGCGAAGCTGTCAGCACAGCATGGTGATGTATAGTCAAATGTTCCAAAAAATGTTTGCCAGCTAGTTCAATCTTGTAAGACACGTTTCAATTGTGTACTTATGTGGAATGTTGCCCCGTGCATCCCGCCATAAGAGCCGCGATCATTTTGTAGTAAACGAAACGGATAATAAACGCTAATATTAGTTTTTGCAGTAAACATTTTTAAAATAGCTACAACTATCAATTACAAAATGTGAACTACATTACATATTTGTAAATCTTCGAATTAAGTTTAGGATCAGCATTTCATACGGGTAACAATCGAACACACGGGTCACCTGATAATCCGATAGTAAGTGGATCTTGTGGCCCTAAAAGCACCTGCATCTATTCTTTTTTATTTAGATTAAAAAGGTTACGATGGAATACCTAGTTACTAGTAATAAATGGTCTCCGGTTCTCCGGTGCTACTCTACTACACTCACCGTACAACAAATAACAGCGCCATGTGATGCAGCCACTTTAGGACGCTATTTAGCATTAAAAATTTAATCCTAAATTGAAACCCGAATAATGTATTTAATTTTTTTTTTATATATAGGAGAGGGGCCAAACGAGCATGCGGCTCACCTGATGGTAAGTGACTACCGCCGCCCATGAACAACTGCAACACCAGGGAAACCAGGGGAATTGCAGATGCGTTGCCGGCCTTTTAAAAGGAGTAGGCTCTTTTCTTGAAGGTAAATATTTACATCCTATCTTTCTTTTTAGCGGGAAATGACCCCTCATTTACAAAATCCTCAAGCATACTTTATTCTCCTCTTATTTACTACTCCAACTCCGTACAACCTTTTCTCATCATAATTTATGTATAATCTGAAAAAGTGTTCGGGCTATGCACGCTTTAGTTAATATTGACGACTCGGTGGCACAGTGATTAAGTGTTTGACTGGTTCGAATCCCGCATTAAAAAACTAATTGCATGCCTTACAAAAAGTCATCCCGGATCTGGATGTCCATGTGCAATTTGTGTGTGTGAAACCCCTCCACGATACAGGATAACTTCTGAGGAACGTAAAAAATAATATTACAATACTCGTACACATTCGTCATTGTAGATCTAAATTAAATCCGTGCAAAATATAAAACTCTTGTTCATGGTCATGTTCATGGTGTGATTTGTCAATTGGTGACTCATACGTAAGATATTTGGTAAGAAAGAGAAGCAAAGTCTGTCGATTTGCCCCAGACCTGGCCATCGTTCCTCATGATGTCGGGCGCGACATTGCCGCCGGGGTAGCGGTTGTAGATGCCGTTTAAGTTGTAGTGCAGGTTCATGTCCGGGCCGATGTTGGCTTTCAGCAGTTGCTCCCAGATGCCGCCTGTGATGAACAATAACCGCTTATATTAGCTATTTGAACAATACAAACGAACCCTACACTTATGTATTAAAATGAATTCGTTAGCAAATTACTTATCATTTATCATCAAAATAAAACAAGTAAAATTTAAAATAGTATGTATTAAACTATGTTAATATACCACTTTTTAAGGTTCCGTTGTTAAACAACAAGGAACCCTTATACTCGTAGTTTCGCGACGTCCCTACTCGGGGACGCTAGGTGCTACAAAGCTGTAATTTGACATAGCTAAAGCTATTAATCGCGCCTACAAAGTTGGTAGTAAAATTTTGAAAACATTTTTATTTTGGATACCCGCCATGCAGGTAATTTTTTACCCATCTATTCCATCGTGTTGGAAATATTTAGCTTTAACGTGATATTTTTCATTAGCCATGTGTCCTCCCCCATTAACCAAACCGTTGTTTATGGGAATGTGAAAAGTATACACTATAGTAGTATATATAATGCTTGGTATAATAAATGTTCCTTGCTCTGTCCTCTTTAAAAATGTAGTGGCAACTGCGGCTGCTGAATGTTGCACAGAAGCTTGTCGCTTCTTCAGTTCTTTGTAGTTGAACGAGAAGTTTTTAAGTATTTTAAAAAAAATTATCGAATTAAGCGTGTCGAAGCAATATACAAAAGACGTGGGGAAAATACAACCGGAAAGGAAAAAAAATATGATAAGCCACCTGATAAAGAAATGAGAATGACTTCGAGTGATACTTTTAGGGCTAATACATTTCTCGTCCTCATTGATAGACTCGCATCTGAATTAGAAAAACGGTAGATGTTGGTTCAAAAAAACTTTTGATTTCGGATCAAAATCAACAACATCATCAAGATCAACCCTTAGAGAAAAAGCCCTTTTCTTGGAAGAAATGTACCCTAATGATTTAGAGACTGACTTAGTTAAAAAATTCATACATTTTCAATGCTACTATTCTTCTGAAAGAATTTTGGTGAAACCAGATTCTGGTCATTAAAAATTTTATCTTCGTTCCTGTGGAACCAGAATTTTCAAAATGTTTATCTAAACTTCACACGGATTAATGTACACCAGTGACAAATTTTTCGGGTGTTTAATTTTAAGTAAGAAAAGCTTCTCGCTTTTCTTACTTAAAATGACAGAAAAATTATCTAAAATCTACCTAATGATTTTGTTGTAATTGATGTTGACATCTCGGTACGCCGGGATCACTCCCTGAAGTTACTTGCAACATCAAAGGACTGTTGAACTTCTTCGGGGAGATTTCATCGCTCGAATAATTACATTATTCCTGTTCACACGCAAAATACGCGCTTAGTCGTGGAGTTGCGAAAAACAGCCCCTCGTAAACTAAACTACCTAAAGTCAAGAAAAGCTAAACAAACACCTTACATATTTTGTGCATAGAGTTAGAACTCAAAATTAATGAACAAGATTTCATCCGACGATTAAAGATTATTTTGCGAATAGAAAATTACACAAAGAGAAATTGTAAAACTTTCTACTTTTAATTGAATATATTATTTTTAAAACGTTTAACGGTTAAGTAGTATTAAGGCATACCTTACCCCCCCCCCCACCCTTATTACAAGTACATGATTGAGCTTTTATTATCTCAGAAATATAGCCAAAAGCTATTTCTTGTGCAATCTTAACTAAATCGTTGATCGATTTAATAGTTCACAATAATTATATTAAAGACGAGAAAATGGTGGTGTAATTAGAAAGATAATTCACAAATCATGAAGTTACAATTTCATTGACAATAAATTTTAATTAATATGATTGTGAACTAGGGCATCGAATTGTAGAAGAAAGGTAGGGGCGGCAAAATTAGAATAGCCTGCTGGCGGCAAATGTGTAAATCTGCCACTGTTGTTTAGGCCAATAAGAAATAAACTTAAATACATATTTGAAATAAAGTTCAAATCATGTTAACAGAGCGCGCACAACAATAATGACAGCTTGATTTTAGTAACATTAAACAAATTCAGTGTTTGATTGTCAGAAACAACAGCGGTTTACAAAATAAAGAACTATTCGTCCTGCTCTCTCACAGTTGACTAAAGAAGTTAATATGAAGAACTGACCTTAACCAATTATTTATTATGTGCCAGAGTGCAATGCTGCAATGTATTATATATGCCGCAGAGCCCGTCCAGTAGTACACATAGAACTGTCTTTGATAGCACAACGTAATATTAGGTAGGTTTATTACTGTACTACAACTATAACTGCAATATGAATTCATTTTAAGACAATGTTTTGCAATCTATGCAGTAAAATAACTTTACCCTTGTCGATCGAGACGATAGGCCGGTTGGACTGCCACGGGTACTCGCCGTGGGCTTGGAAGTATATCGCGTACGTTGATAGCTGAAACAAGTATTAGAAACTATTTAAACATTACTCAGTAAAGACTTTACGTTATAAAACATTCATGGAACGCGTTTGAAGTAAATGCAATATACAAATCATCAAAATAAATGAAGTACGCAAACCAACAGCAACACCGCCCATCACTATGCTACGTAGGGCAGTATCGCTCCAACATCACCTTACGTACTAAAAGAATTACCACGACAGTTAGCATGACGACAACGATTAAGACCCGTTACACCTAGGTTGGTTGTCTGCGCAGTACTTTATACTGCTTGAACGAGTGGGGGAGGGGAGGGGGGGTTTAAACGCTTGTTAGTTATATACCCTGACTCCTGACACAAGAGATCAAAACGACCCTTTTTGAAAACGAGCACACAGTCCACCTGATGTTAATAGGATGCTGTCGCCCATAGACATTATACATTTATCCTCGATTAAGAATCAAAATGCAGATGCGTTGTCACCCCTGAGGGCTAAGATGGAATGCCTCGTTTCTAGTAAAAGGGGTCTCCAGTTTTCTACACTCACCATACGTAACACAGCAGCATTAAGCTGATATTTTACGCTGGTATTCTATGAGAGCGTTTCCATACGCGGTGGAGCTGACCCATTCGTGCTACCATAAAACTATAACCATAACCTTAAAATCATAAAATAGCTGCAGCGTGGCTCTACCACGAACTGAAACAGAATAAATAATAGTAGGTACTACGTAACGCTCTTGATGATTGTTCGATTCAAAAATTAATTTTCTTTTTTTTTTCGTTTCGCTAAAACTTTGTCAAAGTATTGCTTCCACTTGTGCGAAGGTAATAGGCATAGTATAATTAACTTACAATAGGGGGCGCGCGTATCGTGCTAACAAATTTATTTGAAAGTTATACATCATTTAGACTTCAATGAATGTATTATCATTCCTAATTAAAAACAATATTACTCTTTCGAATTTAAAACGATATTTAGACAGTTATTTTTTCTGTGGCAGCAACGCGCCGAGCACCAGCTAGTTCACCATAAAAGCGAGCGAAGCGAGCTCGGACAGACTCGGACAGGTTAGAAACTTAGAAGGGGAAGGTAGGGTCGGGTGAGCGAGCGAAGCGAGCCAATCGACTCCGCCATCCCCTTCGTGGTTATTTTTTTATAAACAACCCAGTAATAGGAGCCCCGCGAAGCGTGGCTCCGTCGACTATTTAAAAATATTGAATAATTAACAATAAGTTGTATTTATGATCCAACAATCATCTATAACGATCGAACAAACGATATCTAGTAATAATTTAAAAATTTAAGGGATAAAAGAATTTTCAAGGCCAACCTAAAGATGAAATTTGTTTAATTAATTATAAATAATTAAAAGAGGATCAAACATTTTTTATGTTCGAACAATAACGAACAAACGACGAAAAATTAATTAAAAATTAAAAAAACTCAAATATCAAAAAATAAAATCCAAGCGGGGCTAGGTTCAGGTACCTCACCGCAGAATACCGCTCCAGAGTCCAAAGGGTATCGAGAACTAGTATATATCTAAGCTATGACCTGTCTCAAATAAGTGTTCAGAGGTGAAAATGCAATGCCTTCTTCCATGTAAGGTCGTTTATAATTACGGTTTTATAAAAAAAAAGTTGTTAATACATATTTGAAATCACCTGTGTGTAGTAGAGGGCGAGCCAATATTTCCCGCCGTGTCCCACGAAGGCTGTCTCGTTGGCATCGATCAGGGGGACGAGGTTTTCCTGGTGCTTCGATTCGGACGATATGAGCAGGTTGCAGCCGTACCTATGCGTATTAAACAATTCGGAACGGCGATTTAGCGTTACATTTTCAACTATCTGAGGGGCAATGTCCAATGATATTTTCGCGGTTGAAATTCCAGTCATTGTTCCTTACCATACAAAGGAAATATTTCAATCTATTAATAATAATTTAAAAATTGCCTTGTTTTTACTTCCCGGTTCGTATATTGCAACGATATTATTTAAAATAGGCAACAGCGTACAAACAACTAAACAGAGATCTTAAAATGCATGCGTTGAGACTTACGCAACTTCAATACAGCTCGTATTGAAGACGCGATTAAGCCTTGGCTATGGCTCCAAAGTCATTGCCAGATATCGGTCTGCCGAAAAGAGTCAACTGTCGAAGTTGAGAACCGACAGTGGTAGCATTATTTCCGGGAGATTTGAGATTTTGAATGAAATCGAGAGGTTCATCGGACAACTGTGTTTTACCCACACGCGAGTGTAAGTAACGTTGTAAGAGCAGTCTCGTACACCACCACCACTAGTCCAATGATATACTGGATGATAGTGAGCGAAATGAGGATGACTTTGCACTTTGAAAACAGCAAGACTTCTAGCAAGGTTCAAATTACAGCAGAGCTACTGAAACTGGATTATCATTTGGACAGTGCAGTACCATAAATAAAGAGAGGATAGCAATTAATATTTACTAGTAGCTGGGATCAACAAATGTAGACTGCAGTCTACATTTTTTGTTGAGTTCTTTCTATTTGAGAAGTTTTTGGTTTTTTACTTACTTGATATACTTAGTTTATGGGGAAGCCTTAATAGCTTTAATAAGCCAAGCTGAAGACAGCACACGGACTAATGAAATAGACATATACATATACATACATACTTTTGAAAAAATTACCCTCCTTTTGAGGCAAACGGGTGAATGTAATGTTGTATCTGAAAAACAATGTACAGCAAATCGCAACCAACCAGTCTGGACAGGCCTTGAGGATGTCGTAGGGTGCCCTGTAGTACTCTGCGCGGCGCACGACCGGGTTGCGAACGTTGAACCTCTCGTTAGGGTCAGTGAGGTTGATCCGCTTGATTTTGACGTCGCGCCGCTCGCAGATGTAGTCGTAATGGAACTTGGGTACCGAATCGCCGCGAGCGCAGTACGTCGCTGCAGCAATATGTCAGCCTCATCTCACATTATGTCCTCCAGACCGAATTTCGGTTAGGCGGCAAGTCAGTAAAGAATAAATAAATACGTAAACAAATAAGACCCTCCCAGAAATGAGAAGTGGCCTGTGCCCAGGAGTGGGACGTATATAAGCTGTAACATAAATGTTATTTTTTGAACGGTCATCGTCGATCAGTTTATTGCCGGGTACTGTTACCGTTACCGTTCCAGCCTGCTAAAATCCACTGCTGAACATAGGCCTCCCCTATAGACTGCCTCATAGGGGGTATATTTGCCATAGTTGCCGCTCTTGGCAAGCGGGTTGGCCATCACAGTTTATTTTTATTTTTAGTCGTTATTAGGATGACGCTGCTGCCTATCTCCTGATTGGTTTCCCTCTGTGGCCTCTTACAACATGTACGGGATGATATGGGGTAGTGGGTATTACACCGCCACTACACGGTAAAATAAGTAATAAATAAATAAATAAATACGCGGTACTGGGAAATCTATAGCTGGTAATAAAAATAATGTCCTCTAGAACGAATTTTCGGTCAGTCTTAACATAGACTAGTCAGCGCATGGCAGGACTATAGTGGCCGAGTTTATGCGCGAACACAGGTGCACTCTCTATTGCCTCACTTTCACAGTCCGCTGGGACGGCAAGCTGACACGACCGGGGAGAGATTAAGCGCAGTGGCGTTTACAACCACTGTGACTACACCAACGAGACAGTCAAACTGTCCCTCTCACTTTACACTATACTCCTACACCCAGTCACCGGTACCCTTACAGCCGTCGCAATTCCAATCATGGGTACGACTAATGACAATGATAATGTTCTCCAGTCTTAGCTACGTACATACTCGTACGACTAATATGATCAACGACACATCAAATAATACTATCAAAAGCTTGTTTGTGGTATGTACACACACTTTGAAAACATTAAGTTGAACCTGTGTTTTTAAAATTAATTGACAGTTTTATATCACAAAGTTTCACTTTATCGTTATGACATAAGAGACTCTATTACCGCATTTCGCCCCAAAGGTGCCGTACGATGTGACTCTGTAAAAAGTACTTATATTTTTTATTTATTTACTCTAAGCCTGTGTTTGCATACAATCCCACCTGGTAGTAAGTGATGATGAAACCATATGTAGTAAATTGCATTGACTGAGCGCAACAAAAGCTTATTTACTCTTTCCTTAAAGACTCCGAGATTGTCATCGGATGGAAAGACAGGCGGCTGGCAAATTATTCCACTTCTATGCTGTATGCATTACAAAAGATGAAGCGCACCGACCGTATTCTCTGATAAATAACCGTTTAATCATATTGTATACACCGTAGTCAGCATCTGAAATCTATCTCTGACGTGAAAATATCATATCATGTCATGTCTGTAAGTCTGGTGGTGCAGGGTAGTGCAAGACCTGTCGTACTGCGATCCGCCCGCCACCGTGGCAGTTACAACATCCCCTGTCTACAATGCAAGAAACCAACGTCCTAGCAGTGGATCATTAATTCAATGTAATGAAACATATAAATCACAACGAAGTGATTGCTATTATTAGACAGAGAGATATTATTTAATATAGGTTTAATTATAGGTTAATTAGTAAAGGCAACATGTTGTGTTTGGGCTGTGTTATTTAAGTTTTATAACAAATCAATATGCACTTGACAACGAAGAATGCTGTCTATGTTCGTAAAAGCACGTGTGCATACTACTAGACTACTATTTTTTTTATAGGGTAAGGGTGACAAACGAGCACACAGTCCACCTGATGTTATGTGTTTGCTGCGGCCTATAGACATATTTACATCTATTCTCGATTACGAATCAAATGCGTTGTCACCCGTGAGGACTAAGATCTAATGCCTCGTTTCCAGTAAAAAGGGTCTCCGGTTCTCTATCCTCACCATACGAAACACAGCAGCGTTAAGCTGCTATTTTACGTTTGTATTCTGTGAGAGCGTGATTCTTCACCGGTCGAGCCGACCCGTTCGTGCTACAACTATACCAACTACTAATACAGCTGCAGCATGGCTCTACCACGTATATTGTATACTACTAGACGGGCATACGAGTAGCGTACTAAGTAACGGTCAATTCTCCGTAACCCCATTAGTCGGCTGCTAGCGAGCGAGAAGATTACTTCTTGTTTTGTACACCAGCAACGTTGTTTTCAACAAACTAAGGCCGATTTTGTTTATTGTAATTTGTAACTAAGAAAACACTGTCATTATTTCTGTGCGCACTTTGTGAACGTGATTTGAATTTTATTTCAGATAGGTACGTAACCTTTTCTTCGTATATATATTATTATATTATTTGTTTTATATTATTATTACAGAAAAATACACATACACATCTGCTCGATATGGGGTCTTTTGGTTTCGGGACCGCCGGGACCCGCACCCGTGTCCGCGTGCCTCAATAGCCGGTCTAGTAGCGTACATAGAAGTGTTTGTTGAGTGTACGAGTATTTAAAATCGCAAATATGAGGTAACTTACTCTTGTAGGTGCCGTCGAGCGAGTTCACTGCGGCGTACTTATCGATGCAGTACCGGTAGCCTAGCGAGGTCGGGAAGCGCAGGTAAGGAACCCTGCACGAGAATCGGCCCTCCTGGTACATCGCGCCCTATCCACACCATACAACATTCATGCAAATTAGCGTCAGGTGGGATCGAAATTGAACACTGTTCTTTCTATTTAAGAATATTTTATGGAATATTTGGAATGAAGTAGAAGCCAATAAAATTTTTAGAACCTTTTTTGACCACCTGTTTGAAAACGCACTATCTAATATCTATGAACTCTAAAGCCCTAGCCCTCTACCGTGTAGTGGCGACGTAAGAATATCCACTTCCCCATATCATCCCGCAGATGTCGTAAGATGCGACAGATGGAAATGAAATAGGAAATTTACAGTAGCATATTCCTCATAAGAACGCAAAGTAATAAAATTGCGGATACCTAGCGTGGCAGCTATAGTATAGTAATATCCTCCCTATGAGGCAATCTATAAGGGAGATGTACCTCGTATGTTCAGCAGTTACCTATGGTCTTTTGATAGACTGTTATGATAATGGTAATCTATTATTTTGCCACTGCACTGCCAAATGATCTTTTGTGACGACTAAAAGAGCCGAACACAGCGCGAGGAATCAGGTGTGGGAATTCTCACTGCCATCTACGCCGACTCACGTATCTGATCACGTACGATGGGATTTCAGGATTTCCAGGTGGAGATCGAAATAACCTCATTGTTGGCTCTAGTTTGTTTACCCTTTTTAAATCTCAACACGGTGCATGACGATTTTCTTGTGCTGCTTTTAATAGACAACCGGTGCACTATTTTTTTGCTAGTTTTTTGGAATACGTCACCGCTGGCCGCATATACTGTTCAAACTTGAACAATAGTTTTAAAATGTAGAATAACTGCTTAAAACTGAGAGGAGTTTTGGCGGGAACTTGGCCGGCGACGGATTGCTGCTCCTGTATTATTGTTTAAATAATGGTTTGAAGTAGATTTTGATATGTAAAAGTGGTGAGATTTTATGTATTAAATGTCTACGCATGTGAATTATTAGTGGAAACGGTGAAACAAGTGCTCTGATGGTGATGTGATTCTCAAGATAGGATGTCTGTCTGCACAGGCGCCTTGAGATACTATCGCCAAATGTCAGCTGTCTGCTGGCTCAAGTTGCCCTCAAAATCTTCAAAGGGCTGCACAATGTGACGCATTAACATATTGTGAAGCAGTGTACTATGAAGGATAGTTATACATTGTAACTTCAGGCTCAGAAGGGCTAGAGCCCAGAGCCGTAAAGCCAGTTATTAAGAAGAAGATGTTTAAAACTGACAACGCGTTTAAGCATATGTCTATTATTTAAACTTTTTCTTATTTGACGCTTCATTGTATATTTACAACAAAAATACGTGTAGCAGTATAAAATATTACTTATATTTTATTTTCAATGTTCTTATACACTTTTCTTGATAGGTTACTTAATAATATTTTCAAAATAAAATTTCTATCTCGCATCAGCCAGTCTCAACAGAGACGACCGTTTGTGCAGGGCAGGATTACAGTGCGTATATGCGCAAGCACAGATGCAGAGTGCACTCCCTCGCTTATATATCATCTAGATTCTGTGATGTTAGTGCTGTTAGCCTTTTGGCTTTTACAGCTTCATCGGACACACTCACTCTCTTAGTCTGAGATGACGACAACCTGGCACCACCACGCGTTTCACTTCCGTGTCTCGGAGAGCACGTAAAGTGGTTGGTTTTACACCAGAACAAACTTTGATACGAATAGCGACTGTATTATAATATACATACAATAATATTCAAATTTTATTTAAGTCAGTAGAGTCAATCCAGTGTTAAAGTTTGCTCTCTACTATGGTGTCACATACAGATTGACTGCTCCGTTGGACTAGCGGCCATAAACGCTGCTGTTCATAAGGTCCTGGGTTCCAATCCCGGATCGGGCCAAAATCAATTACTGGGTTTTTCCGTCGATAGATTCTCAGTAGGGCATCTGCATTTTGAGTCTTTATTGAGGATAGATGTAGATGTCTATGCGTCACTTACCATTAGGTGGACTGTGTGCTGGTTCGTCACCCAATCTTATAAAAAAAATAAAAAAATGAACAGGCAACCTTGCAGATAACGCTGCGTCGGCCCGGCGGACGCGAGACGCCACCGAAGCAGTAGGAGCGCGTGCCGTTGATCATGATCTCGGTGACACCGATGTGCGACACCAGAGTGATCCCGTTGATGCCAGCCAGCGCGAACCGCTGCAATCCAGCGCGTTTCCGCACCTCCACGTTGTTCTTCATGCTCATGGTGTTCACGATCGCCTGCCACCCGTACACAAACTCGTGCATCGGACCTGACCCCAACACATTTACGCATTTCTGAAGTGAACACTTCTCTAGAATCGTTGTGATTTGAAAATCGATCAAACTAAAAAGCCACACAAAAATGACACTAACATAAAAGGTATTCATCTATAGGATTTAGCCTGCGAGAGAATGAGATAGAATACAGTATACAGTGTTTATTTGTTTTTGTTGTTTGTTTTTTTTGTGATTGTCTTGGACTCCATTTCTGAAGGTTTGACTTCTACCCCGTGTGACTTCCACACGTGTTTTTTTTTTAAAGAAGACTAGTAAAGTTATTAACATTACCGATACGCTCATTAACCTCTAAGTACTAAGCATAAAAATACTTGTGTTAAGGGTTTCACGCGTATTGCCAGTGATGACCTATGGATCTGAGACGTGGTCCTTCACTGCTGGCCGTATGAGAAAGCTCAAGGTCGCTCAGCGAGCCATGGAGAGGACTATGCTCGTGCTTTCTCTGCATGATAGACTTAAAGACGAGGATATCCGCAGTAGAACCAGAGTAACTGACATAGCCCAATGGATTAAAACTTACGGATTAAAAATTAAGCAATGTCCACAAATACAAATTTTTATCGTTGCAATCTGTTGCAAGTATTAGGTGAATAAGATTTGATGAAATTGTAAGTTTAAACTTCCAGGTCGAATATAAAATTTCACCCTCAAAATCTTTTGAACATTTCTTACCATTATCAAAACTAATTCTTTTTACGAGATAAATTTACATAATACGTATACGTAATGTTGGAAATATTAAGTTGTGGAAATTTCGTTTCGTGTAACACCACCTATCACCAAGTTATGATACCTACTCATAGAAAAAATTATCGTTTTTATTCATTTTTAACTACAAGAACGCTCAGCATTGGGTTGGTTGACTGGTTTCAATTTCAAATTCAGGTTTACTATATTTATTAACAAGAACAGTGCTGTGTTAAAATAGTGAAATAATAATAGATTTATTTAAGAAAATTAAAGTTGAATATTCGTATAAAGTTAAGATATTCACGTTTATCAATAAAGATTGTTATTTTGACCATGTGTGTTGGATATTTAAGATTTCTAACTTTGAAAATGTTCTGTAAAATATTTTATTGAATATCTTAATATGTTTTTATGTGATAACGATGTAATGCACCTATATCATAATGATAAGACTTTGTATGTGTTTTTTATAAATAAATTTGTGTAAAAATATGTTTTATAGAAGTAAAGATATCGGGTAAAATACAAGGGTGCAATGGTGAAAATCAATGTTAAGTTATGTCGAAATGGTGTGTTCTTTTTCGAGTATAGCTCGCGAATAGGATAGTAAACTGGTAATTTCGGTTCGGTGGTTCGGGACCAGCTACCAGTTTTACAGTTTAAAGCAAGAAAGAAGACAATAGAGAAGTGATAGGAAAGTAGTAACAGTTTCAACGTTGCACTCCTATGGGGAAATTATGAAGATAAAATCGCTGTTTCATTTCCTACTGCACCCGCCTATAAGTAGATACAGTCCATTGAAGGAACGTCAAGACCGGGACCACTCCAAAGGGACCCGTAATCTTAGTCGTCTAGCCTTTTTTTAAAGAGTGGGCAACAGACGTCCTTGTGTGACACACTATATGGAGGTCACGTCCACCTCGTTGTTCCCGAACCCAATGTGGTGTGATTTGAGTTTAGTGGGGTAGAACTTCTATGACTGATTAACCCCTGTCTGTTGAACCTTTTCAACAAGAAATAAGATAATGCTTGGCAACTAGGACATGAACAGTATTAATTAAAAAAAAAACAATGAACAAAGGTAGAATATGCACCTATGCCGAAGCTGTCGCCATCGAGGAAATTGAACATTTCACCGAAGGAGTCCGGCATGAGGCCGGCGATAACGGTGGAGGTCTGGAATCCATCGTCCGGTAGCATCGGCCCCACCTCGTCCGGCGATGTCGTAAACTCGTGTGCGGACATGTTGTTGTGGTGCGAATGGGATCCCACTCTCTACGCATCAAATTGCATCTTTTTAACACACAGGTGCTGCAAACCTGGATGTAGAAGGCACAGGACGTGGTAGAGCCACGCTGCAGCTATATCATGGTTGTAGCTCGAATGGGTCGCACGACCGGGGCACCACAACTCTCTCATAGAATACCAGCGTAAAATAGCAGCTTAATGCTACTGTGTTTCGTACATTGTGTTATATGTACTACTAGAGAAGCCATTCCAAACAAAAATTGTGTCCTACTCTATGTCTTAGCGCATGCGCGGGAGTAGTAGTCGCGCATGCGCGAAGACTTTAATTTGATATAAAATAAGATATTAATATACAATAAATATAAGAATTTAATATAAAATATTTTAATTTAATCTAAACAAACATATTTTTAAATAAAATGTAATAATAATTATTTTATGGAATTCACAAATCTTCGCAATATTTAGTTTGTATGGATTGCACTACAGTTCAGTTGAACATAGTCAATGTTTGGAATGGCTTCTCTAGTACGTAGTACATATAACTCAATGGTTTCGTATGGTGAATGTAGAGAACATAAGACCCTCTTTACTAGAAAGAGGCATTCCATTTTAGTCCCCAGGGTTGACAATGCGCCTGCATTTAGATTCTTAATCGAGGGCATATAGAGATGTTTATGGGCCACATCATCCACTTAACATCAGGTGAACGATGTGCTAAAAAAAATTAACGTCTCCCATGGCTTAACAATGAATCACTAGTCGAGTTACAGCTAACGTTTTAAAAAAATACATACAGTATAGTGGCGGTATCAGAATATCCACTGCTTGATATCATCTTATGAAACTAACCCAAGAAATGGATAATAGCATATTACTGACAACACCTCAAAATTATATGTTGAATTTAATGAGTGGGTAGCGTGACCTAGTCAGGTCGACAGTATGCCAATCTCTCTCGCTTCGCGTTAGAGGTGTGCAATGACAAAAATTGCCAATGACATATGCCGCATGCCAAGCAACTATGGCAAATAGGGCGAAGAGTGAATCTATGGGGAAGGTCTGTGTTCAGCAGGAGACTAGACTTTTTCGGTAGGCATGTAATGATGATGTAATCTAAGATGCGTGATTTTATATACAAAACGCCACCTATCCTTATTTAATATTTCTTACCTGTGTCATCCATAGCGCGAAAAAGAAACTATGTATACTTAGTATACTTAACCACATGGCGGAACCGTGTACAAGCAGCGACCGTCTAATGACTGTATATCGTAACGCATTGGCAATGCCATAGAAATAATTGGCTTGTTACTTTGAACGTTTAATTGATCGTTAGACCAGTGTGGCTTCCTGGTGCGTTATAGTTGGCCAAATAAATATCAACTCTGTCGGTAGTTAAAGTTCTTTTTTCTTTTGAAGTAAAACTTCTTTAGAATCGTTGCGAGTTAAAACTCGATGAAACAAAGAAGCTACACTAAACAGAGACAAACATATGTATCTATAGGATTGAGCCTGCGGGAGTATAAAATGCAGTGTACAGTGTTACAAATTAATAGTAAAAAATTAACTGACAATACATTTTTATTAATAAAAAATAAATAAGATTTCACTTGTACCATATGTGAACTGCACATATATTATTTGACCTTAAGTTTGAGCCATGAGATCAAGTAACATGCAAAACTGTCATAACGGCATTAAGCATATTCCCATAGAAAATACAGGGTGGCCCATAAGTCCCTTGAAATGTAAAAAAATAATTAAAAAAAAACTAATGACATTATGAAAAAGGTTTTTATTTTGTCATAATCCTTATAAAATGGGAATTATTTTTTGAAAATTACATCATCTAAATGTAATCCGTTACGATCGCGGCACTCCTGTAAGCGACGTTTAAAATTATCCATCACTGCGTGGCAAGTAAGCTCTGTAATGTTTGCCATTTCTCTTTGGATATTTTCTTTCAGGACGTCAATTGTCCGCGGGTTGGTTTCGTACACTTTAGTCTTAAGATAACCCCATAAGAAAAAGTCCATTGGGGTCAGATCTGGACTACGTGGTGGCCAAGGAATATCTCCTCTTCGAGAGATCACTTTATTAGGGAAAAGTTGACGGACGACCGGCATAGCGACGTTAGAGGTATGGGCAGTTGCTCCATCTTGTTGAAACCAGGTCCGCGTATTGAAGCCTGGAAAATTCTGCAACTCTGGTGTAAAAAAGTCCTGGATCATAGCTACATACCGTTGTGAAGTAACAGTAAGCGCGCGGCCTCTGCCGTCCTCAAAAAAGTAAGGGCCTATAATGCCATGCGCTGACATAGCCGCCCAAACTGTCACTTTAGGGCTATGTAAGGGCTTTTGATGTTTGCGATTTGGATTTTCGCAACTCCAGTAGCGACAATTTTGCTTATTGACATGGCCGTTGATGTGAAAGTGAGCCTCATCAGAGAATAACACGTTATTAAACGAAGTAAAGCGGTTCAACATTTCATTTGCGAAATTTAGTCTGTGGATAGTGTCAGTATCTTTTAATTCCTGTACTAACTGAATCTTGTACGGGTGAAGATGTAAATCTTTCTTTAAAATTCGCTGTAACGATGTTCTGGGTAAGTTTAATGCACTGGAACGCTTACGAGTAGACTGGGTAGGATTTTCACGAATTGAGTGTTTCACTACATCGATGTTTTCTTCCGTCCGTGATGTCCTTGGTCGACCTGACCGTTGTTTATCCAACGTCGAACCACTCTCTTCGAACTTAATAACCCAGTTCTTAATCGTTTGAATACTTGGAATGTCTTTAAAGTTGCGTAAATTCTGATATTCTCGAAATTTACGCCGCGCAATGGTAGCCGAATCATTGTTTCGATAAAACTCGCGCACACAAAATGCACGGTCCGCACCGGTGAAACGCTCCATGGCGACTGAATTCCCAGAAACCGTCGGTACTCCACCCGCACCGCGCGCGCCACTCATGCGCGCCTTTTGTATTTTATTCGAAATTTACATTTCTAACGACTTATGGGCCACCTTGTACAACTCCCTCGCCATTTGGTTTATTGTAACCCCTGAGGGTTTTATGGCAAGGAAATGTACGCCGCGCTGCTAGCAGGGAGTGGACAAATTGATGACTACCTCAGGGGAAAAGACTGATTCTTTTTTAAAAGTTATAACTTTTTTATAATTTTTAAATATGACAAGCTATACAATATTTTAGGCACTATAGCTACAAATTTGCATTTCACTGTCATATTTTGTATTAGCAACCTAGCTAGAAAAAAATACTTTATTTAATTTTTTTGTTAAATCTTAAGATATTTTCGTTTTATTTGGAACTGGGATGGACAACTATGCTACATAGGCTTAGGTTGCTAATACAAAAAAAAATACAGTGATATTTGCAAAGTAGTAAGAGTACCTAAAAATATTGTATAGCTTGTCATATTTTAAAGTATTTAAAAATGTTATTATAACTTTTTTAAAGTCAGATTTTTTCCCTTAGTAGTTATCAATCTGTCCGCTCCCTGGTGCCCGCTTAACGTTGAATTTTGGTACACGTGGTATAGCTTATTGTAATATATACACACAATATGCGTTTAATTATTAATATTTTTATATACAAAAAATATATAAATTTCACGCTTGTCACCCAGGGGATAAGGCAGAGACTACGTACTTCCAATGGGCACGATCCTGATCATCTCACTTCAGATCTTCGCCTCTCTCGCCTGCTTTACATTCATATACCTACGCATACATGCTCGACGGTTAAAGGTACACTCAATCTCGTTAATCTTCAACATATCGCCAATTTTGCTTAGGGCGTCCCTTGCCGGCTCTGCCCTTCACTTCTGCAACATAAATTTGCTTTGTCACTCTTTCCTCGTTTATTCTTTCTACATGGCCAAACCACTGACGCATTTCTCAATCCTGGTCACCACATCATCTTGCAAACCACGCTTTTCTCTTACTCACACGTCATTCAGATTCAACCCTAACAAAAACAAAATTTATATACAACGACTGAAATCATTTACAAACGGTTTTATTTAATTTTCGACAGGATTTCAATAAAAAACGGATAATTTATAAACATGTATTTTTGTAAAAAAAAAAAGCAAAATTGTTAAAATTAGAATCATTAGGCACAACAACAGTAAGTATTCCAAATATCTTCGTAAGAACACTGGATCCAAAATTAAAAGTTACATTCACGACGAGTACAAAACACTTAATTTGTTAGAATAAATAATTTTACAAAATACTTGTGCTGCTTATTCGGTTAAGTGGAACACTCTGATATTTCATTTTGTGTCTTTGCTACAAAAAATTCCTTTATCAAAATCCAACGACATTTGCAAAACACTTGTAAAGTAAGTTCAGTACCACGCGGTGTAAGATCTTACGTTATTATCGCGTTCACAGATCAAGCCCAGTTGTCTACATAAGGCACACTTGGGTCATAAGGTAGTCTAACCTTCAGAATTTAAACATAATAACTTAACATTTTTTTTAATTTCTATATGAAAACATTTTTAACACGAAATACAACAAAAAAAAATTAAACAATATATATACATATACAAATGTAAAATTATATTCAAAAGCGTAACCTACGACTCAATTTTTTTTTATAGAAATAGGGTGACAAACGAGCACACAGCCCACATGATGGTAAGTGGTTGCTGAGGCCCATAGACATTTACATCTCTTCTCGCTTGCGAAACAAAATGCAGATACATTGTCATCCGTGAGGACTAAGATGGAATGCCTCCTTTCCAGTAAAAAGGGTCTCCGGTTGTCTACACTCACCATAAGAAACACAGCAGCATTAAGCTGCTATTTTACGCTGGTATTCCGTGAGAGCGTGTTCCTTCTCCGGTCGAGCCGACCCATTCGTGCTACAACTATACTATAAATATAGCTGCAGCTGGGCTCTATCACGTAAATGATTTAAATTTAAGCTAATTTAGAAATTAACACTAAATCTTGTAGTTGTTCCATATAATTTGTTCCTTGTTTAAATTTGTCATGACTAAAGATTTTCACGTGAATGTAAAAAATGTGATGTAATCTGTAGCATACAGCTGTTGGTGCTGCAACAATAGCACTACAAGGACACCTTACTATGGCACCGCTTTGTCCAGCTCCACAACCACAACTATCAACTCATGAACTTGTTAACTTGTAGATATAATATGATAATATCCAATACATTCTCGTCGGCGATAAATAAAATACACAATAATATGACTATTAACTACAATACAAATAATTAAATATATTATCTTGACAAAATCTCAAAAGGTTTGTGTACTTACTAATAAAAAAATAATTTTACACCACGCAAGACAACAATAAAATTAAAAAAAATACAAAAGTATAAATTGTTATTAAAAATTCAATTGGTATTTAATTAGCATAATGGTACTCGGTACGTATTTTGACTAGGCGGAGGTTGTTAACACATTTTTTTTTCTAGACAATGGGAAAAACCGCCTGTCTAATGACGTGAGGGAGATATTGGTTCAAACAGTACCAGGAACAAATGAGAAAATTTGTAAAATTTATTAAAAATTACATAAATATTAAATATTAACCAGTTTGTAATAATAATTTTGGTCAAAAAAAATAAGTTTACCAAGCAGCACGACAAAAATTGTTATCTTTTAGGACGAAATCAGAATATGAGTTACTCAAAGAAGTTGCTAGTCGACGTAAGTGTCCCTTATATATTTAGATAGATATCGAAATTATTTTTAAGTTTTTTGTACAGTCTGATTCTTGTTATATTAAAAAAAAATTGTTTTCATTTTCAACATATAACATTTGTTGGTACTTTAGTATCATGTATCATATCATTTAAAAATGTCGAAATGGGTAATCTCAGTTTGAAACATATTTACGTTTGATAAACGAAATTTCGATTCCTTTCAAAAGTTTTCCCTTCATTTCAAATATATGCTATGTAGCATTCTCGCTGTTTAAATACATGAAAATAAAGGATATTGTAAGAGTTAAACCCTAGTAGTCTCTCTAGTCTAGTCTGTAGTACACTGCTCACTGGCCAGGTAGGTTCAGCAATTAAAGTGGCCATACACAATAAGATTTATAGAGAAGTTACTTTTGTTTAATTACTGTATTAACCAATTAATGGCACTGACGATTGCACGTAAAGTGCCTTTGTCTTGATTTTTTTTTTACATGCACATTACATATTAGTATACATTCAAAGTCTTATACAAACCAATCACTGATCTGACTAACTGAACAAACAATGAACCAATGTAGGCACCTCTTATAAATGAGGTGAATTAATATTTGACAGAATTCATAGTGAGGGAAATTAAATCGTAAGAAAAGTGTAGAGATTAACGTACTTTACCGATACATGAGTCATATTTCATATTAACTAGTTTAGACAGAATATAAAAATAGGTTTAAAATGTATAAAAAAATAAAGAAAATAGCACCGAGGTATTGTTTTGTGTATGTACACTAGAAAGAGAAAAACTTATAATTAAATCG